TGACATAACTGTTGTTTGTTGTTTACTTCTCTCCTCTGGCATAAAGCTCAAGGAGTTATTGGATTTCCTCCCTTTCTTATTCCCTCATAGCACTGCTTTGCTGTCCGGTCGTTTGTGGCATTACTTTGGGAAAGTGCCGTTGATAAACTGAAGGTCGCAGTCAGCACTTAGATTCACTCTGCGATCGATTCTTTCATGTCAAACAAAAAGCACAATATGTCTTTCTCTTCGTTGTGGTGCTGTGTAGTTCCTGCAGCAATGCCAACAGTATCTAAGATTTCCCGACAAATATAGAACATTGCCAGCTTTGTTATCCAACTTTAAATTACATATATAGTTCATTTGTTAAGACAAATCTCATCAGAGTAATGTATCCTCTGTAGGAGTATGCATGAACCTGTACGGCACAGTCTCCACATCTACAGACTGAGGAATAAACATTACCTACTATTTATTTATTTCAGGTTTATTTGATAAGGACAGATAGCATATGCAAGGAGGAAGCAGTAAACAGCACCGTTTTTACATTACATTACATTACATTACATGTCATTTGTTAGACGCTTTTATCCAAAGCGACTCTTACATACATTCAGTACTGTGGACAATCCCCACAGGAGCAATTTGGGGTGAAGTGTCTCAGGGACACAACGACATGCTGACTGCGGCGGGACTCGAACTTGCTATCCTTGTTCGGGGTTCCCAAAAAAACCCTTGACAGGCTCCAGTATGTCCAAAACTGTGCTGCTAGGGTACTCACACACACAAAGCCGTGGCAGCACATCACTCCCACCCTCATCCACCTACACTGGTTGCCGGTCAAGTCCCGTATATCCTACAAAGTACTCCTCCTCACTTACAAGTCCCTCCATGCCCTTGCCCCCCAGTACCTATCGGACATCCTTCACGCACATGCCCCACCCCGGAACCTGCGGTCCTCAGACTCTGGCCTGCTTACCACCCCCCCGCACCAAACTGCGAACCTTCGGGGACAGAGCCTTCAGTGTGGCAGCCCCCCCACCCTCTGGAACGCTCTCCCTGCGGAGATTCGCAACATCCCCACACTCGACGCCTTCAAAAGGGCCCTCAAGTCCCATCTGTTTGCCAAGGCTTTCGGCCCCTAATCGATCTGTTGTTTTGTCTGTCTGACTTTTGTTTTGTTATGTTTGTTTTTGCCCTATTACTGTAAAGCGACCTTGGGTCCCTTGAAAGGCGCTATATAAATGCAAGCTATTATTATTATTATTATCCTCTGATTCGAAGCCCAGCACACACTCCACTGAGCCACAGCCTCAAAGCTAGTTTGCCCCTAGAAATGCTTTCTAAAGGAACTATTGTATTCAAACAATGAGGTTAAACTGAATGAAGCATGCATTTAAAATATGATATATATGTTAAATTAGACATGAGTGCAGGTTACTATCTGAATTAACCAGGATGTGGTTGCTCTTTTCAAAGTGTTTAAGTTTGCAGCAAATATCAAGTGATCACGCTCCAGGACTTCCACAAGAAACTAATGTGTGAAGCTCAGTTATATGTTCGTTGTTGCTACATGCTACCATGAAAGCATGTCGTGTGGAACAGGAAGACATGTGATATCTGTGATTTAATAACACGCTGCTATGGACAGTCTTGCACTAATGTACATTTCCCAAAGATATTGAAGTGACTGTTATTTTGTATATATTGATTGTTGTGCTTTTAGTTATGTCTTAATGTGTGCATATGTATAAATGTGTCTGTTGATTGTGTATATATAGGTATATACGGGAGGCGTGTGGCGCAGTGGGTTAGTGCGTTGGTGTTGGGATCAGGGGGGCACAGGTTCAAACCCCACTGCAGTCAGCATGTCGTTGTGTCCCTGAGACACTTCACCCCAAATTGCTCCTGTGGGGATTGCCCACAGTATTGAGTATGTAAGTCGCTTTGGATAAAAGCAACTTACAAGTAACATGTAATGTACATATTTGTATACATATTTTAATATATATTTGTATACGGTATTTCGATCTCTCTGTCTGTACATTGACAATAAAATTGACTTTGACTGTTAACAGCACAGTTTTTAAAGCTAGTTTGTCCCTAGAAATGCTTTTTAAAGGAACTATTGTATTCAAACAATGAGGTAAAAAGAAGGTTAAACTGAATATAGTGAGATACAATGAAGCATTCATTTCCATTGATATATTTTTTTAATTAGACATGAGTACAGGTTAAAGGTGGGGTAAGTTTGAGAAACCGGCTCGAGATACACTTTTTGTTATATTCCATGGAATGCTCTTAACATCCCGATAGCAATGAATATCGGAAGTGCTTTGACAAAAGATCCATAAAAAAATGTCATCTGTGGAAGCAGTAGTACTGTAAAAAGTACGACCAATCATTTTAGCCGGCCCGGCTAAAATAACTGGATGGCCTACCTGCCTGTCAGCCTTCCATCTGTGCACAAACTTATCTCGTGCCCTCATTGGTCATGTGCGTGTTCGTGTGTGTTGGAGGAGGGGCTCTGTGAGGAAGTGGCAGATTTTCTCCAGTTGTGTTATTTCAAATTCTAGCGCACTCGAGCTGGTTTCTCCAAAATGACCTACCCTACCTTTAATATCTGAGTTAAACTTTGCAGCAAATTTCACGTGATCTCGCTCCAGGACTTCCACAATAATAAACTCAGTTATATTTTCTGTTTTGCTCCATGAAAGCATGTCGTGTGGAACAGGAATAAATGTGAGATCTGTGTACCTAATCTAATATATCATATTCCAATACTTGTATATAGACTCTCCTTGCACTATTTTCTATTCTATTCTATTTGTATTTACTTTTTTATCTGTTTTATTGTGTTGCACTGTTGGAGGAGCCTGTGACCTAAGATTTTCATGTGTACATATCTACACTGTAGATATGTACACATGACAATAAAAAGCCTTGAAATGAATTCTCTGGTCACCATCACTGAATGTTGTAAGTCTCTCACCGTGCTAATAGGAAATGATTTATCTGTTTTACTTGTTCTGTGTCCTATATATATTCATGTTGCTCTGTTGGAGGAGCCTGTGACCTAAGATCTACACTGTAGCTATGCACTAATGACAATAAAAGCCTTGAAACCTCTTGAATGTACCTGAGCATGTCCTGCAGGAGGCGTGGCAGGCCTCACAGCTCCGGTGTTCCTCGTCCTGATAATATCTCAGAGGGCAGGAGGCCAGGCAGCTCCCATCTCTCCGGAGGTAGATCAGATCGGGGAGGCAGCTCAGACACTCGTACTCCCCCCCCCCAATACAGTCCCCACAGCTCGGGTCGCACTTCTCACACATCCTTGAGCCGGTGTTTCCATAGTGACTGGTGAAGAAAGAAAGAAAAGATAGATAGATATGATAGATTGGATTCAATTAAAAGGAGAGTTTGTCCTCAAAGAAAATCCCCTTCCAGAGCACTCAGTCACATTCAGCCACACACACTCATTACAGGTCATCACGAAACACCTGGAACCATTTCTAAAGAGAGAGAGAGCATGTTCTGAATTATGAACTGTTTTTCTGCCACATGTTTTTCTCATTAAAGAGTCCTCTCCTGCTGATGTTCAGTTGTATATCAGTATGTAGTGTCTCTACTTTAAAGAGTCCTCTCCTGCTGATGTTCAGGTGTATATCAGTATGTAGTGTCTCTACTTTAAAGAGTCCTCTCCTGCTGATGTTCAGGTGTATATCAGTATGTAGTGTCTCTACTTTAAAGAGTCCTCTCCTGCTGATGTTCAGGTGTATATCAGTATGTAGTGTCTCTACTTTAAAGAGTCCTCTCCTGCTGATGTTCAGGTGTATATCAGTATGTAGTGTCTCTACTTTAAAGAGTCCTCTCCTGCTGATATTCAGGTGTATATCAGTATGTAGTGTCTCTACTTTAAAGAGTCCTCTCCTGCTGATGTTCAGGTGTATGTAGTGCCTCTACTTTAAAGAGTCCTCTCCTGCTGATGTTCAGGTGTATATCAGTATGTAGTGCCTCTACTTTAAAGAGTCCTCTCCTGCTGATGTTCAGGTGTATGTAGTGTCTCTACTTTAAAGAGTCCTCTCCTGCTGATGTTCAGGTGTATATCAGTATGTATATATATGTTGTGATTGGTCAACCGTTTAGAGATGTCCCGCCCCCCTTAGCCTATCAGGTACAATGTGTGGTTACGTAGTGATGTCCGGAATTAACCAAAGGAGTCCCAATTTTAGCCTTAGCAGACCATTTACATGCACACAAACCTATATAACACACTATAGGAATGGGTAAAAAAGCGTAATAGGGCCTCTTTAATGTATGTATTTAATTGCACATCAATTTAACGGCACATTAATGTAACTCTCTCGATTACCGCTGCCTTAAATTAGCATTTTACAGGACACATGAAGGGCTATTTAAATCTCCGGGTAAATGAGCCCCCCTCACATGGTTTACTGTCCATGGTGACATTATCTGACCGGTCTTTAACCAATGACAGCGCTGTGTGACCGCTCTTTATGTGAGGGATGCAGGTTAAAGTACCTGTGCTGCTGGCAGGTCTCCACACACTCTTTGCCCTCTCGGAAAAGGTGTGTTTTGCAGGCGAGACACTCGTGGCTGTGCTTCCCGACGCAGGACTGACAGGACGGGTGGCAGGGTTCACATTTCTGCCCCGACTCGTCCTCATAGTGGCCGACGGGGCATTTATCCACACAGGTGCCATCTGTGCAAACACACACACGATACAAACAAAGTCACGGATCATTTAGGGGATTTATTTCTATATAAATGGACAAAATAGCAAAACCACAGCGGAGTATTTTTTACAAAAAGTCACGTGATATTCTTGCGTCTTTGTAGGTTTTTTTTTGTGTACTTGTAAGACCTTTGCTGTATTTGTTTCTGAAATATGATTTATTAGAAAAATGTAAACGTGTTTGTTTGATAGTTACTTTTTTTATTTGCAAGACTAAATGCATTAGTTTATAAATAGTGTTTTGTATTTGTAAATCACATTGTGTTTGTTAAAGGGCATTTGTGTGGTTGTGGAGTTATGGCAGAAAATTAGCTCCATGGAGATTTCTGTGAATTTGTGAGGACAGGAAGTGGACTCGATACAAAGGGGCTTCATTGGCATAAATATTATTATTATCATTATCATATATTGACTCACTGAGCAGCAGGTGTCTGTGGTTGCAGCTCAGACAGTGAGATTTGCCCGGACCCGAGCATCGGAAGCAGTATTTGTGACACAGATGGCACCCCCCACCCAGGTTTGCGTACTGGTGAGGAGAGCAGTGATTGGCTGGAAGACAGTGGCCCTCCAGCCTCTCACCATCCAGCCTCTCACCCTCCAGCCTCTCACCCTCCAGCCTCTCACCCTCCAGCCTCTCACCCTCCAGCCTCTCACCCTCCAGCCTCTCACCCTCCCTGCAGCTGGAGCAGGATCCAGCGAGGGGTCCCGAACAGGTGAGACAAGAGGCATCGCAGTCTGGAAACACAAGAAGAAATACAGATTCAACACCTGGAGTCAAGTACATGAAAAACCGTGTCGTGTCAAATTATCATATACTCATTTAAAACATATAGTCTTATACTCTGGTTGCCTTTTACACTGCTAAATTGTATTTTTAGTCTTGTAGGTGTTTACCAGAGACGTGTGTTCATGATTTACATTTCAGGAGGGCAAAGGAAGTAAAAGGGGGATTTGCAAATGGTTAAGGACGAGGGGGTCTTATGGTTTAATGATGGGGATGTTTAGATGATGCCTAAGGGAATTTATATATTCTCTCTCCTATATAGTGAGACTGTGAGCTGTGCTCTGGGTGCAGAACTTCTCTATCCTCTGAGGATGAAGTAGCTCTGCTCCTACATTTGAGATTGATTTCACTTATCGTATATTGACTTTCTTTATTACTTTATTAAATATAACAAAAGACAAACTTTGCCCATGAATCATTTATCAGTTTCTCTTAAGAATTTGAAATGTGTCCTCTGCATTTCACCCATCCTAGGAGCAGCTATTGTACAGCGCCCGGGGAGATAGCATGTTCTTTCTTTTTGTCTTGATATCTATCTGACATTTCTAAAAGTCTTTATAAGGGATAACCATACATATGACAAAAATAAGATTAACAAAATCAGGAAAATACACCAAAAAAAACTAACATAATTATATACTCGCGCTCCTATAGATGAGAGTAACACCTACGTCACTTCCGGGCGAAAATTACGGCCCCGCCCACTTTTGGAGGAAAACAACGCTGTCATTTGAATGGCGGTCGATACACATTCTGACGTTTTTGCCAATCCGATCAGAAATGAAAGAAAACCGTGGATTTGTGGATCTTCAAAGAGCCGGATTACGATGGCCAGTCAGGCAAACATTACATTAAATCATTTGAAATCGACGATCGGGCTCGATATATGGTTAAATTAAAATCAGTAGGCGAGGCCGTCATTTCGCCAGCTGTTACTCTCATGAGCGAGACGGAAAATAATAGTTGTATCATGCCAACAAGCTGCTGTGTCGTTTATTGCACCTCAAACATTAAAACAAATCCAGAGTTCAGTGTTTCTGTTCTTCCTCTAAGAACAAAGGACAGTAACAGAAGAGCTCTGTGGCTTCAGGCTCGATCGCCATTCAAATGACAGCGTTGGTTTCCCCCAAAAGTGGGCGGGGCCGTAAAGTGACGTAGATGTCATCGATCGCCTACTGCTATATTTAACCATATATCGAGCCCGATCGTCGATTTCAAATGATGTAATGTAATTGTTTGCCTGTCTGGCCATCGTAACCGGGCTCTTTGAAGATCAGAAAATCCACGGTTTTCTTACATTTCTGATCGGATTGGCAAAAACTTCAGAATTTGAATTGACCGCCATTCAAATGACAGCTTTGTTTTCCCCCAAAAGTGGGCGGAGCCATCATTTTTGCCCGGAAGTGACACATGTGTTACTCTCATCTATTGGCTAGCGCTCCAACAAATTGTACGTGATAGGCTAAGGGGCGGGATATCTCTAAGCGGTTGACCAATCAGAGAAGACTGGGCTCTGGTTTCAGACAGAGGGTGAAAAGAGGTGCTGCAGCACAGGCAGTATGAGACAAATATGAATACGGCTCCTTTAAGGCCAGCAAATACTGCACATCTACTGACATTTAATTTGTGTCTCTTCAGAGAGAATTATTCTGGTTTCTACCTTTTCAGTTCTTAAAGTTCGATCTCTGAGAACATTTTGCCGCAATTTGTTTCTGCTTCACATGCATATAAACATTTAAAATCCCCCTCTGTCCATTGTGCAGTGCAGACATGTCCTTCCCTTAAATGTTTCACTTTCTGGCAACAAACGTGGGCATCTCCACCAACATTTTCCTGGGAGAAACTTAGCGTCCTCTGTGTTTTTGGAATAACAAATCCAGAGAGTGTCTGTCTCCAGGGAGTTGTGTTTGGCATCGCTGCTCTGTTTTCAAGCTCTGACAGCTGCCTGTTAACCGTCTGCTATTTTAGTCTGAGCGCCGTGCAGAATATAATTGAGCGAGTGCATGAAGGATGCTTTACAGGACAAAACAAATCTGCATCAGTGAGGAAAAAAATAAAGTTTTAGGAGGAAAATGCCTTCTGAACAGTCAGATAAATCACAGAAAAATGGCTAGTGAAAGAAGCTCCAAGGCCGAATGGATAAACATTGGAAATGACTTGTTTCATATGGAGAAACTGAATCTTTCTTTAAGACTCTGTAGTGATACATTTGACAATTACTGGTCCAAATGGGTCTTCCACGTGAAGAGGGTTGTTGCATAATACGTGCTTTTTTTGTTGTTGCTGTGAACACATTCATGTAATGTATTGCCTCTGGTGACCGATGTTTTTATTGTAATGTGTCAACGACTTAAAGGTCCCATGTCATGGCCATTTCTACTGATCATATTTCCATTGTTGAGGTCTACTAGAATAGATTTACATTGTTCAATGTTCCAAACTCACATTGGTTTCTCAAACAGCATCTCTGTATAGTATGTGTATTCACTCTCTGTCCTACACGGCTTGTTGGAGCTCCTGCCCCCCCCCCCTCCCTGTGAGCCCAGTGTGCTCTGATTGGTCGGGACGTTGCGAGGCTCGTTGCTGCGAGGATCGGACAGATTTCCGGGTCGGCGATACAGCGAGAACAAGCGAAACTCATCCTGAGCACACACAGACACTCACAGCCGAAGTAAAAACAATAAGTGTGGCTTGATATTGAGTAAGAAAAAGGTTTGTAACTCTGTGAGAATGGGTCTGCGGAGAGCATTTCTCCACCATCCCAACTCGTCTATTACCAGCGTTCAGGGAGCTCTATGCAAGTCAATGGGGACTCCCTGTTAGTTAGCCAAGGGATCCTGGTGTGTGAGGTGCTCCACGGATTGGTCCATTTGGGCCAATCCGGTCATTTGGTGTTGATTTGGGTGTTCACACGTCACAGAACCCAGGAAGCAAACAACGGAACATGAGAAATGTCCAACGAGGCGTTCTGGGGCAGCATAGACAGGTATTTTCTGTGTTAGAGTTTTACTCGCTACAGGGTGTACTTTGAGGGTTTGTGACTCTGCAGACCGTTTACATGCAGAACAACCTTCATAACACACAAGGGGACGGGTAATAACCTGAAAAGCATGACATGGGACCTTTAAAAATGAAGTATAAAAAGAAAAAAAACTTGCTGTAACTCAAGGGTGTCCAAACTTTTTTCACCGAGGGCAACATACAGAAGAATATACGAAGGGCTGGGCCACTCACTAGAGGTATATCGCCTCATAAGTTCAGTTATAAGTTGGAAAAGTCAATCCAATGTTGGTAAATTGTTCTTGATACTTGAAAATGCTTTATGAAAAAAACAGAGGGTTTCATTTGTTGTGTTAGCAGCTGATTCGTTACAACAGAAGCTTCAGATTGCTGACAATAAGAAGACATATGAAGGGTGTATTTCAAGGTTGTTATGTGAATTTGTTATTGGGCTTTTTTCTTATCAACTTAGATTTATTAGAACATGTTTTGAACTTTAATTGACTGAATTTATTTGAAAATTGGGCCTATTAACACATGAATACTGTGTAATATATATATTTGAACTAAGAAGTACATTATAAGACAAGCAGAAGTTTATTATACTTAAGTCATTATACTTTTTTAATTTGCTGAGTGAGGGCCAATTCAAAATGGTCCGCGGGCCGTAGTTTGGACACCCTTTACATACCTTTACACTCTTCTGTAACAGTGTCTCTGTAAGTGTGTGAAGGGCAGGCAGTGAGACAGGCCCCGCTGTGCAGAGAGTTCCCGGGGTCCGTGCAGGCGTCACAGTCGTTGTTGTTGGGCCCGTCACATAGTGCACAGTCAGGGTGGCACCGCACACACTCTCGCTGATCCGTGTCTTCAAAAAACTTCTCAGGACAGTCGGGAACACACAGGCCCTCATGCAGGAAGTGGTAATCCTCACAGTCTGCAGGAGAAGAAATAATGCAATATGATCAGAGGTGGGAAGTAGTGGAGTACAAATACTTCGTTACTGTACTTAAGTACATTTTTCTGGTATCAGTACTTTACTCCACTACTTATTTTTCTGACGACTTTTTACTTTGACTTCTTACATTTTGAACACAAATACCTGTACTTTCTACTTCTTACACTTTGAACACAAATACCTGTACTTTCTACTTCTTACATTTTGAACACAAATACCTGTACTTTCTACTTCTTACATTTTGAACACAAATACCTGTACTTTCTACTTCTTACATGTTGAACCCAAATACCTGTACTTTCTACTTCTTACATTTTGAACACAAATACCTGTACTTTCTACTTCTTACATTTAGAACACAAATACCTGTACTTTCTACTTCTTACATGTTGAACCCAAATACCTGTACTTTCTACTTCTTACATGTTGAACACAAATACCTGTACTTTCTACTTCTTACATGTTGAACCCAAATACCTGTACTTTCTACTTCTTACATGTTGAACACAAATACCTGTACTTTCTACTTCTTACATGTTGAACACAAATACCTGTACTTTCTACTTCTTACATGTTGAACCCAAATACCTGTACTTTCTACTTCTTACATGTTGAACACAAATACCTGTACTTTCTACTTCTTACATGTTGAACACAAATACCTGTACTTTCTACTTCTTACATGTTGAACACAAATACCTGTACTTTCTACTTCTTACATGTTGAACCCAAATACCTGTACTTTCTACTTCTTACATGTTGAACACAAATACCTGTACTTTCTACTTCTTACATGTTGAACCCAAATACCTGTACTTTCTACTTCTTACATGTTGAACCCAAATACCTGTACTTTCTACTTCTTACATGTTGAACACAAATACCTGTACTTTCTACTTCTTACATGTTGAACCCAAATACCTGTACTTTCTACTTCTTACATGTTGAACCCAAATACCTGTACTTTCTACTTCTTACATTTTGAACACAAATACCTGTACTTTCTACTTCTTACATGTTGAACCCAAATACCTGTACTTTCTACTTCTTACATGTTGAACCCAAATACCTGTACTTTCTACTTCTTACATGTTGAACCCAAATACCTGTACTTTCTACTTCTTACATGTTGAACCCAAATACCTGTACTTTCTACTTCTTACATGTTGAACACAAATACCTGTACTTTCTACTTCTTACATGTTGAACACAAATACCTGTACTTTCTACTTCTTACATTTTGAACACAAATACCTGTACTTTCTACTTCTTACATGTTGAACCCAAATACCTGTACTTTCTACTTCTTACATGTTGAACACAAATACCTGTACTTTCTACTTCTTACATGTTGAACTCAAATACCTGTACTTTCTACTTCTTACATGTTGAACCCAAATACCTGTACTTTCTACTTCTTACATGTTGAACACAAATACCTGTACTTTCTACTTCTTACATTTTGAACACAAATACCTGTACTTTCTACTTCTTACATGTTGAACCCAAATACCTGTACTTTCTACTTCTTACATGTTGAACACAAATACCTGTACTTTCTACTTCTTACATGTTGAACTCAAATACCTGTACTTTCTACTTCTTACATGTTGAACACAAATACCTGTACTTTCTACTTCTTACATGTTGAACCCAAATACCTGTACTTTCTACTTCTTACATGTTGAACACAAATACCTGTACTTTCTACTTCTTACATGTTGAACACAAATACCTGTACTTTCTACTTCTTACATGTTGAACTCAAATACCTGTACTTTCTACTTCTTACATGTTGAACACAAATACCTGTACTTTCTACTTCTTACATGTTGAACACAAATACCTGTACTTTCTACTTCTTACATGTTGAACACAAATACCTGTACTTTCTACTTCTTACATGTTGAACACAAATACCTGTACTTTCTACTTCTTACATTTTGAACACAAATACCTGTACTTTCTACTTCTTACATGTTGAACACAAATACCTGTACTTTCTACTTCTTACATGTTGAACCCAAATACCTGTACTTTCTACTTCTTACATGTTGAACACAAATACCTGTACTTTCTACTTCTTACATGTTGAACACAAATACCTGTACTTTCTACTTCTTACATGTTGAACACAAATACCTGTACTTTCTACTTCTTACATGTTGAACTCAAATACCTGTACTTTCTACTTCTTACATGTTGAACCCAAATACCTGTACTTTCTACTTCTTACATGTTGAACACAAATACCTGTACTTTCTACTTCTTACATTTTGAACACAAATACCTGTACTTTCTACTTCTTACATGTTGAACCCAAATACCTGTACTTTCTACTTCTTACATGTTGAACACAAATACCTGTACTTTCTACTTCTTACATGTTGAACTCAAATACCTGTACTTTCTACTTCTTACATGTTGAACACAAATACCTGTACTTTCTACTTCTTACATGTTGAACCCAAATACCTGTACTTTCTACTTCTTACATGTTGAACACAAATACCTGTACTTTCTACTTCTTACATGTTGAACACAAATACCTGTACTTTCTACTTCTTACATGTTGAACTCAAATACCTGTACTTTCTACTTCTTACATGTTGAACACAAATACCTGTACTTTCTACTTCTTACATGTTGAACACAAATACCTGTACTTTCTACTTCTTACATTTTGAACACAAATACCTGTACTTTCTACTTCTTACATGTTGAACACAAATACCTGTACTTTCTACTTCTTACATATTGAACACAAATACCTGTACTTTCTACTTCTTACATTTTGAACACAAATACCTGTACTTTCTACTTCTTACATGTTGAACACAAATACCTGTACTTTCTACTTCTTACATGTTGAACTCAAATACCTGTACTTTCTACTTCTTACATGTTGAACACAAATACCTGTACTTTCTACTTCTTACATTTTGAACACAAATACCTGTACTTTCTACTTCTTACATGTTGAACCCAAATACCTGTACTTTCTACTTCTTACATGTTGAACACAAATACCTGTACTTTCTACTTCTTACATGTTGAACCCAAATACCTGTACTTTCTACTTCTTACATGTTGAACCCAAATACCTGTACTTTCTACTTCTCACATGTTGAACCCAAATACCTGTACTTTCTCCTTCTTACATGTTGAACACAAATACCTGTACTTTCTACTTCTTACATGTTGAACACAAATACCTGTACTTTCTACTTCTTACATGTTGAACACAAATACCTGTACTTTCTACTTCTCACATTTCCCAAACAGGCTGGTTCCTTTAGTTTGAATGTGTGTTTGGTGGCGTGATCATTATTATTTAGAGTCATTGCGTGCCTATTGATTTGAACACGATCCGTGTATCCATCATTTCCTGGTCTTCTCTAAAGAAGAGGGACCAATGAAAACGTTGTCATGTTGCCGTTGTTCAGCATGGAAACATTTGTTTTGTTTTGTAATTATTTATTTTACTTGTTCGAAATAAAATGTATCAATCAATCAATCAATCAATCCATCAATCAATCAATCAATCAATGTCCTCTGTTTCTCTGGCATGGATGTCAGTCACTCTCAAAAAGTGACAAGACATTAATAGAAAGTCAAACATGTCTTGCGTCGTCATCTTGAACATGTATTCAGTGGAAAAGACTAGATTGCGTTTGCCTTGTGTTACTGCGACGGATAATTTGTTTATTTGGGTTTAGTACCTGCAGCTGATTTCATCTGGTTTACTCCTGCACAATGAACCCAGATGAACTGATTTCGCTGTGAGATAATTGCAATAAATGGATGAAAAGGTTGCTAAAAGGACTACAGCTACGTTGTGTAGTTACATTACATCACATGTCATTTGTTAGACATTCAGTGCTGTGGACAATCCCCACAGGAGCACTTTGGGGTGAAGTGTCTCAGGGACACAACGACATGCTGACTGCAGTGGGACTCAAACTTGCTATCCCCTGATTCGAAGTCCAGCACACTACCCACTGAGCCACAGCCTCCCCTAGTTCCTTTCATTTTGCTTCTCCCTCTGCAAAGTGTATGCAAAGAGTATGCAGTCATGCGTAAAATGAGATCCACATTTGGTGTGAACACATTTGAAAACGCTGAAGAAAGTTGTAATCATGCTCAAATGTTCACAGTAAAGGTCTTAACACACAATTCATCCTGTGCGTGACTGTCTATGTCACATGTCACTGAAATGCATCCAAAAGTTGTTCGGACTTCAATTAAAATGAACCAAATATTGCCAAAGATGAAGTCAGGGGATCTGCATCGTCTGGGAAAACATGAATGCATGCAAAAGAAAATCAGATTTGTCGACATATTTCAGTTAGGTTAAAAGTGTTGGGCAAAGCAACATCACCATCTCTAGAGAAGTGCAGCTAATTTTGCTGAAAACAACAATCAACAAACCTGCTGGTGATAATAACCCTGTTTGGAAGGAGTGCAAAAAGGTAAAAGCACACGGTGTTTCAGTCAGAATGAGCTCCAACAGCTGAGATTAAAACGACAGACGGTGTATCCCAACTCATCTGCACTGGCATACATATGAAGCGAGGAATAAGGATTTGATAAAAGGCAGAAAGAACCAGCGTTAGTGTGGTCTGCAGAGGTCCTCATGTGTGGAATGAGACTGATAACACGGTCTTTAAAAAGTACTTAAAGGTAGTACATAAAACCAGTTTGAGTGCACTAGAATTTGAAAATACACAACCGGAGAAAATCTGCCACTTCCTTACAGAGCCCCTCCTCCAACACACACGAACGCGCACATGACCAATGAGGGCACGAGATGAACTTGTGCCCCGATGGAAGGCTGACAGGCAGGTAGGCCATCCAGTTATTTTAGCCGGGCCGGCTCAGATGATTGGTCGTGCTTTTTACAGTACTACGGCTTCCACAGATGATATTTTTTATGGATTTTTTGTCAAAGCACTTCAGATATTCATTGCTATCGGGATGTTAAGAGCATTCCATGGAATATAACAAAAAGTGTATCTCGAGCCGGTTTCTCAAACTTACCTACCCCACCTTTAAAGCAACACTTGTTAAGCACTTATGTCAGAGATTGAAAATGCTGAATGTGTGTGGACTTTCTTTCTCTGAAATGCATTGTGGGATATGTTTTTGAATTGTTTTACGTTTCAGAATAACACGTTAACTCTCTCTATTCTATATCTATTAATGATATATCATATTTGACTGTCTTGGCTCCATTCTGTCAATTGTACCTGTATTCTTACTTAATGGTGTATGCATGATGAATGTTCAGTACCTGTATTTGTATTTAAATATGAATGAAAGTATGCATGAGTTAGTTTTATTACCTGTGCATCGTCCCAGCGGGTTGCACTGCTGGCAGGCGGGGGGGCAGTGTGTGCACTCCCTGTCCCGCACAGTGTGTTCTGCAGGACACGCCCTCACACACTGATGCTTGTGCAGCAGCAGAGGCTCCTCACAGCTCAGGCAGTGTGTGGCGTTCTTCACACAGGACACACACCCCGACACACAGCTGCGACACACACCGCCTGCTGGGTAACCCCTGAGAGACACACACATATATAATCATTTAAAACATATAGTATATATATTATACTCTGATGCCTTATACTCTGTTCAATTGTAATTGTAGTCGTGTATGTGTGTCTTGTGTGGGGCCAAAGGAAGTGTAAAAGGGGGATTTGCAAATGGTTAAGGACTGTAGGGTTTAAGGGTTTAATGGTGGGGATGTTTAGATGATGCCTGGGCCTATTAACACGTGAATACACACACACACACACACACACACACACACACACACACACACACACACACACACACACACACACACACACACACACACACACACACACACACACACAAAATGGACATCAATTCAATGTTTTTTTCTCAAAATTCCTATTTAAAGACCCCAAAATGTATTAAAAGTTGTATTAAAATCCCTAAATTAGTGGTTTCTTTTTCCTTGTTTATGCTATACTGTTCATCTGATGTGGTTAACACCTTTTTGGTTCTCAAAGTTCGATCTGTGAGAACATTTAGCTGCAGCCTGTCTCCACTTCACATGGGAGTAAACATTAAAAAAAACCCTCTCTGTCCATTGTGCAGTTCAGAAATGCACTTTCCTTTAAATGTCTTACTGCTGGCTGCAAAATGCACTTAAATTAAGTGTCCTAAACACATGTATTACTTTGAAAATGTCCTATTAAAAGACCTTAACATGTATAAAATGTTGCATTCAATCTGGTAATAAACCGACTATGTTCCCTTGTTTGTCTCAAGCTGGACTGCATATTATTTTTACCATGTGAACAGAATGAAATATGCCTGAGTGTGTGTGCTGCTGGGGTAAACAACATGGTGACATTCTGCTCTGCTCTTTGCTTCAGTCTAAAGAGGACAGCTAATCATTCATCCGGATAATCTTGTAGTACTTAAGTGTTGCTTATAAAAGCTGATACAAGTAAAGTCTTCAAAGCCACAAAGTAAAATGGAGAGCTAATGGCGCTTCAAGGATCTCATGAGCAAGGACGTTTATTCTTTCAAACTCAAAGGGTCTCACGATTTCATTTCCTATAAACATGGAGTCGGGAACTCACTTGAAATCATGGCAAGAAAATACGTTCCTTGACATTTTACTTTGGGTCTTAAGATAAGATTGTGCCATAAACATCTGGCCTGATGTTCAAAGAATATATGATTTTGCCAAGTTTAAATCCCCACAGTATATTTAAACTAAGAATTATTCATTTCCAGCGAGAGATGGAGCAATCTATATATAAAAAGCATGTCAATTATTCAAATGTATATTGATAGGACTTAACGCTTTCACAATATTACATTGCATTACATCATTATTGGGTCAAAATAATGTAGGTTAATGAAATTAAAGAGGTCCATTTTCCATTTCCTGTAGTGTGTTATGTGGGTTTGTGTGCATGTAAATGGTCTTCAAAGGCTAAAATCGGCCTTATGTTACCAAATGTTGAACTTACTGTGATTAAGATCAAATGTGGATTGCGGGTGCAGCTCTTGAACAATGACACATATTATATATATTGTCTTATGAACATGGAATCATTTTTTAAAGGTCCCCTATTATACTGTCTTTCATCAATATATCACAGGTCTCAGATATATACAGAGCCTGTCTCTGATTGGCTGAAACACCAAACAGATCATTGCAGCATCCCATAATCCCCTCTGTTTCAGCCCTGTTTCCAAAGTGCTGATTCTCTGTCTGTTACTTACTCGATGAAAATAAGGAGCCCCTCCCCACGCCCCTCTGAGAGAGATTTGGTTACAAAGAACTCAATGGTGCTCTAGGAGGAGATTCAGGTGATAAGGTGGGGGGGGGGGGGGGTTACCTTGGTTGCTGATTGGCTAATGGTTACACAAGACAACACATCGTTATGACATCATAAAGTGTCCAAAATCTGATCAGCTCATTTTCAGACAGGTTTTTATAGAAATGGATCAGGACAAAAAGAGAGAGAATCTTTGTTCCTGAAACTTTCAGAGTCTCTTTCCACAGAGGGGACACATGTTGATGAAGAAGAGACATGAAGAAGAGGGGACACATGTTGATGTAGAAGAGACATGAAGAAGAGAGGACACATGTTGATGTAGAAGAGACATGAAGAAGAGGGGACACATGTTGATGTAGAAGAGACATGAAGAAGAGGGGACACATGTTGATGTAGAAGAGACATGAGGAAGAGGGGACACATGTTGATGTAGAAGAGACATGAAGAAGAGGGGACACATGTTGATGTAGAAGAGACATGAAGAAGAGGGGACACATGTTGATGTAGAAGAGACATGAGGAAGAGGGGGACACATGTTGATGTAGAAGAGACATGAAGAAGAGGGGACACATGTTGATGTAGAAGAGACATGAGGAAGAGGGGACACATGTTGATGTAGAAGAGACATGAAGAAGAGGGGACACATGTTGATGTAGAAGAGACATGAGGAAGAGGGGACACATGTTGATGTAGAAGAGACATGAGGAAGTGGATTTTGCATAATAGGTGACCTTTAAGATAAACATCATAGTGCTCTGACCTGACACACCGCTTCACACAGCCTCCGTCCTGCAGGAAGCGGCTGCTCTGACAGCGTTTGCAGATCAGAGCGTCTTCACACTGCACACAGCCGGGGGGGCACGCCTCACACACTCCGCTCACGCGATTGGAAAAGAAACCCCCCGGACACTTTGACACACATGTTTGCTGAGCGGTCAGAAACCGCCCTGGGACGAGGAGCAAGAGGAGTAAACATCATCAGTGAAACGCTAAATAACTGCACAGGCTGTGGAGTAAACACGGAAATATGAAATGCTGCTGCAGGTTTGAAGGCGTATAAACATATGTTGGGAAAATAGTGAATGTAATCTTCCAATATCAGAGTCCACATGATAACAAAGGTATCCCAACTGTAGCTGTGAACATGACAGGATGTATGATTACCTAGAAGAGCATCAGGACTGTTTGAGGCATATGATAGCTATGTGATTAACATGATGATTCAGCCTCTATGGAGATAGACATATGACAAGCATGATCATTTCTGACGTGGAGCTAATCTGAAGTAAACATTGAATAGATTGAAGCTCAAGCCGGGGACCAGGGATTATTAACATTTTTTAAGTATTCAGAAAAAGACAGAATTTTGAGAAAAAATTAGGAATTTTTTGATTTTTAGAAAAAGTCGGAATATTTAGAGAAATGTCTGTCTTTCTGATTTTGAAAGAAAGTCAGAATTTTGAGAGAAAGTCAGAATTTTGAGAGAAAGTCAGAATTTTGAGTAAAGAATCAGGAATTTGAGAACAAATACAGAATTTTGAGAAAAAATACAGAATTTTGAGAAAAAATACAGAATTTTGAGAAAAAGTCAGAATTTTGAGAGAAAACAAAAAGAAAGATGTATGATTACCTACAAGAACCGGTATTCCTCCATCTCGTGACTGTGTAACTCCCTCTCTTGTATATAAGTGATGACTACTTGATGACTACTTCCTTTCTTGCAAGGATAATAAATACATGGATCCTGATATTGAAGCTCAAGCCGGTGACGAGTGATATTTTCCTGACAGAAACACAGACCCTTCTCCTCTAATGTCCTCCTTCTCTCCTCCTTCTCTCCTCAGGTGAAAGGAGCAGCATTTGAAAGATAGATACATTCAATTGAATACTGCTTTCTATTCCTCCATCTTGTGACTGTGTAACTCCCTCTCTTGGATATCAGCATGTGAAGGACACTGTTCAGGAACTAGTTGATGCTCTGTATGTGATGACTACTTCCATTCTGGAGAGGATCATAGATACATGGATCCTGAGATTGAAGCTCAAGCCGGTGATGAGTGATATTTTTCTAACAACATGTTATAATCTACCTTTTGCACATGTGGTACAGCGGGTCTTCTCCTCTCCGGAACAGGACTCACAGGAGGGGTGGCAGTCCTCACACGCTCCGTCATCTGGAGAGGAGACATCACAGAGATCATGATGAAGACACACAGGTAAATCTAGCCCTTATCCGGGTCCGTTAAAGAACACAAATATCTCACTTTCTGACAGTCATTGCACTCAGATTGAGAAAATCCGTTTTATTAGCAACTAATATTCGCATCTGTGTTTCTTGTCAACTCATTTCCATCACCTAGTTTCCATCTACATTAGCATCACTTCTGTCACATGCTTTTATCACATGGCAATACTTATTATTTTATAATTGTTATGCTATGACTTTTGTATTTTGTTTTTGTCTTTGCTAAGGAGCAGTTTCATCCCACAGGCCATAAGACTGTTAGACACCTGAACCTTTGAAAGAGCATCCATAACAATCATCTGTTTGCAACTCATATATATCAATATTCCAATTACTTGTATATAGACTATTCTGCACTATTTCTATTATATTCTATTTGTATTTTCTTGCACTCTGTGTTATTGTGTTGCTCTGTTGGAGGAGCCTGTGACCTCAGATTTTCATTGTCATAACTACACTCAACCGGATGATCTCCACATGTCTACCCTACTTTTATAATGTTTGAATCATAAATCTAAAGTCCAGAAGCAAAATGCTAACGTGATGCTATAAAGGAACTACAGCCGAGTCCAGCAGCACGACTTCAACGTCACGCCAACTTCAGATCCATATTCAAACACACAGATTCTAAATGGTACGAGTTGAAGCGTTTGTTTGAACAGTCTGCAGGAGGCAGGTACTTGCTTTCAAGCAGAACAGGGCAAACTAACTTAGAGCAGTGTTTACGTGTTCGGCGTAATGACGTACAACGACCTCAACTTCTGTAGTCCTATTCAGCCACTTGGTAACAACCATCGTTTTTCAGACACGTCAACTCTTCAGAAATCACCAGAGGGGTCACTGCTGATGGATTTAATGTCGTAGAACAAAACGTGATCCGTCTCTTCAATGTGTCTCAACCACAGACCTTATTTCAGATATTTTCCAAAATCCTATGGAGAGATCCCATTGGCTCTGAGACGAGGGAACAGGAAGTGCTAAAATGCTGACTCACTTCTGGGTTTTAGGACTCGTCACTGCACCATTCTGTTGTCTTCCAACAACAGCATTTAGGAGAAAAATACACTAAGATGAGAACTCTTAATAACAGAACAAGCCTTGACCTTGTTGCACCCTGTGATATTTCTAACTGTGTGGAGGTTTGAGGCTTTGCTGTTGCTGAGATTAAAAGTTTAAAATAAACTTCACTTCTGTGTCTTCATCTCCAACCTCTCTATTAACCTCTGCACTCTCCTCAGAGTTACTCGAGTTCCTATAATTAAGATGTCCTGCCTCGCTAATTACCGCGTGTTGTTTAAAGGTCTGTCCCACTAATTCTACGGGGGAACTAAATGTTCAGAAAATACAATTAATTATTCTCAGAACTTGTGTCTGTTTGAAGACTTAAGATGGCATGGGGTTCAGGGATGGCGGCACACAGACCAATTACCCTCCAAGATGTACTTTGTGCCCCAGTGAAAGAACCCAAATCCCTGCCTCATTATGAGCAGACGGTTGGATTAGAGCAGCGGTTCCCGACCTGTGGGCCGCCAAATCATTTGCAAAACATTATGATTTGTGTGGAAACATTTCATTATTAAGATTCTTTATTTATTTTAACCTCTTTTCCTTTTTCTTTCTCAATCCTCTTTAGTCATTACAGTCCTTGACAGCGGCCTGTACTACTGGATTAACAACGTGTCACATGTTCTGAATTGACCAATCAGAATCGAGTATTCAACTAAACCTCCGTATTCTTACTAAATACTGTTAATATGTACATTAATTATGTTAGTGTACAGTTTTAGTATTATGCTGCTGTGTTTATTGTATTTTTGGCACAACAATTTCCTATCTTATCTTATCTTATGCTTGAATGTGGGTCGCGAAAAAAATGTAGATTCTTAAGTGGGCCCTGAGTTGAAAAAGTTTGGACACCCCTGGGTTAGAGGAAGACGTCAGTGTGAGTCTCACCGCTGCGGAAGGTCTTAGCGGGGCAGAGCTCGTGGTCGGACACACACTCTCCGTCTTCCAGAAGCTTCCCGTCTTCACAGGACAGACAGTCGTTTTCCTCCGGACCGACACAAGACCCACAGGCTGGGTCACACTCCTCACAGTCATTGGTGTCCTCGTCTCCGTAGGAACCATCGGGACACTCGGGGACACAAATACCCTCTGGGAGAAGAAGGTGATAAAATGCCACAACATTTATCTGATTGGTCTAAACTTCGACTACTGTATAATCTAAGAATTCTGACTTTTTTAAAAACTTTTTCTCCATTTTCCAAACTTTTTTATCAGAATTCTGATTCTTTAATTAGGAATTCTGACTTTAAAAAAAAAAAAGAATTGGAAAAGTTCAGAAGAAAAAAGTTAGAAATGTGCGAAAAAGTGAAAAATGTTGGTATTCTGACTTATTCTTAGAATTTTGTCCCAGAATTCAGACTTTTTCTTCAGATAAAAAAAGAACGTTTTTCTCAGAAATCTAGATTTTCTCTCAAAAGTCAGATTTCGAAGAAAGAATGAGAAAAAGTAAGAATTCAGAATAAAAAATTAAAAAAAAATCTTAGACTTTAAATATTGACTTTTTCTGAGAATTCTGAAGAAAAATAAAGAAATCTAGTCGGAATTCAGATTTAAAAAAAATATTTTCTCAGATTTCTAACTTTCTTTCTCAGAATTCTGACTTTTTCTTTAAAATTCTGAATTTTTCTTCTGAATTTGGACTTTAATCTCAGAATACAGAGAAAAAGTGGAAAGTCAGAATTCAAATGTATTCAATTTTGTTTTTAGAATTTAGACTTTTTTTTCTCAAAATGTCATTATCCTCTGCCGTAAAATCTGGTACTCACAAACATGTTTTGATAATTTTACTCTAATACTTTAAGTACACTTTACGGATAACACTTGTGCACTTTTACTTAAATTACAACTCAGGACTTTTAATTGTAATGTAGTACGGTGATAATACTCTTACTGAAGGATCAGAGTACGTTTTCCATCACTAACAATATAACACAACATTTTGACATTTTCAAACCAAGCTTTTTATATATCACTTTTTTGTCACGGCTGTGTATTTGTACCTGATAAGAAGAGGTCGGTCTCACACCAGTAGCACTCGTGTTCGTCACAGCTCACACAGTTCTCCTCACACAGCACGCAGCTCATCTCCGCCTCCACGCTGTACGTCTTCGCCGGGCAGTTTCTGTAGCAGCCATCCTGAAAACTGATAACAGAAACATCTGTCTGTACCTGCGCTACACACACACACACACACACACACACACACACACACACACACACACACACACACACACACACACACACACACACACACACACACACACACACACACACACACACACACACACACACACACCACACACACACACACACACACACACACACACACACACACACACACACACACACACACACACACACACACACACACACACACACACACACACACACACACACACACACACACACACACACACACACACACACACACACAAATCCACTCGATGTCACGGCAAAAAAAGGGGTTTTCATTCTAGTTCTCTCCAGTGCAGTGAAAGGCAGAGAGGCACACAGCCTTACTTGTAAAAGCCCTCAGTGCAGGACAGGCAATGTTTGGGGTTATCTGTTGAAAGCAGACACAAAAACACTCTCCATTTAAACAAAAAACTCTGAAGAGAAACCGGGGAACATGGTCGGCCGCTCAGGGAGGAAGAGAGCTCGGTCTAATTCATATAGGGAACACTTTATTAGGACTTACAGAGGACACACTTGTTGCAGCCCTCCTCACAGGACATGCAGTCGTCGTAGTCTGGATCCTCCACCTCCCCTGAGAATGAAAAAAATGCGTAAAAAATGTATATCAAGGTTAGTAAGTACAAATACAAATAAATACAAGTATTTTAAATATAAAATAATAAATAATGTACACAAACCTAAGAAGTTAAATTAAGTGGGCAATACAAAATCAAATGAAAATATTTTTACAATCATCAAAGTAAATGTAAGAATGTGAAATAAAACATAAAATAAATATATTTATATAAAAGTTAAAAGTGTCAACTAAAAAATATATAAAATGATTATATGGAAAAAAATTAAAAAGTTAGAATGTGCAAAAAAAAACATAAAATCAAATCAATACAAAATGTTTATAGAATATATACAAGTGCAATCTATCAGTAGCATTGGAGCACAAACTCATGAACAAACGACTTGTGTACCTTCCCCACACTCCAGCTTGCTGCAGGCTCCATCAGAGACGTAGTAGGAGGTGTCGCAGTGGAGGCAGCGGGTGGAGCTGCTGCAGAGCAGACAGTGAGTGGAGCACGACTCACAGCTGATCTCTGAGTGGAAGAAGGCCTCCGGACACGCGTCCACACACACACCTCCATACAGGTACCGCTGCACGCTGAACTTATCTGCAGGATAACAGCAGGTACGTGTGTGAAGATTTAAAGGTCACCTATTATACAAAATCCACTTTGTCCTGTCTTTTCTACATCAACATGTGTCCCCTCTTCTTCATGTCTCTTCTTCATCAACATGTGTCCCCTCTTCTTCATGTCTCTTCTACATCAACATGTGTCCCCTCTTCTTCATGTCTCTTCTACATCAACATGTGTCCCCTCTTCTTCATGTCTCTTCTACATCAACATGTGTCCCCTCTTCTTCATGTCTCTTCTACATCAACATGTGTCCCCTCTTCTTCATGTCTCTTCTACATCAACATGTGTCCCCTCTTCTTCATGTCTCTTCTACATCAACATGTGTCCCCTCTTCTTCATGTCTCTTCTTCATCAACATGTGTCCCCTCTTCTTCATGTCTCTTCTACATCAACATGTGTCCCCTCTTCTTCATGTCTCTTCTACATCAACATGTGTCCCCTCTTCTTCATGTCTCTTCTACATCAACATATGTCCCCTCTTCTTCATGTCTCTTCTTCATCAACATGTGTCCCCTCTTCCTCATGTCTCTTCTACATCAACATGTGTCCCCTCTTCTTCATGTCTCTTCTTCATCAACATGTGTCCCCTCTGTGTAAAGAGACTCTGAAAGTTTCAGGAACAAAGATTCTCTCTCTTTTTGTCCTGATCCATTTCTATAAAAACCTGTCTGAAAATGAGCTGATCAGATTTTGGCCACTTGATGTCATAACGATGTTTTGTCTTGTGTAACCATTAGCCAATCAGCAACCAAGGTAACCCCCCCCCCCCCCCCCTTATCACCTGAATCTCCTCCTAGAGCACCATTGAGTTCTTTGTAACCAAATCTCTCTCAGAGGGGCGTGGGGAGGGGCTCCTTATTTTCATCTAAAGTAACAGACAGAGAATCAGCACTTTGGAAACAGGGCTGAAACAGAGGGGATTATGGGTAATGCTGCAATGATCTGTTTGCTGTTTCAGCCAATCAGAGACAGGCTCTGTATATATCTGAGATCTGTGATATATTGATGAGAAACAGTACAATAGGGGACCTTTAAAGGTAATTTAAAGAGTTTTTTACACACGTTGCATTTGGATTTTGGTGTCAAGTTTGTAAAATACCTGGATTTATTAAGAAATATTTATATCTATTAAAAATAAATATGCCCTATTCTAGTTTTGGGGTTGTCCCTCTCCTGTTGTGTGATATATATGTTTTTTTGCGTGTTTTTGAGTAACTTACTTATTTAAAATATAGTTAAATTGAAAAACAGACCTCATAGTGGACATCTTGGCTCGGCGATATTGATAATCCTTAATATAATGTGATTACTGAATTAACACGACCTGTTTCCCATGTTAGCAGCAGATAAACATGATCAAGTGGTCAATTGGATCACACACACACACACACACACACACACACACACACACACACACACACACACACACACACACACACACACACACACACACACACACACACACACACACACACACACACCACACACACACACACACACCAACACACACACACACACACACACACAAACAGTCCTCACCAGTGTCACAGGAGGTGCAGTTTTGTGGCCCCGCCTCCACACAGGTGGAGCAGGTGTGGTCACACAGGTGACACTGACCCCCAGACCGGTACTTTCCCTTTGCACACTGCACCACACAGTGGCCCTCTTCCAGAGCCCTGCAGCACACATCAACAAAAACCATGAAGAGACATTTCAGCTGCAACAACAGAAAATAAATCAGCGGAAAACAGATGAATCATGTCTCTGGAGATGAACTCATTTACATCCCAGCATGTGACATATGGAGAGACACTCAGATAAAAATCAGTGTGTTGACACAGTGGGAAGAGTGTGTGTGTGTGTGTGTGTGTGTGTGTGTGTGTGTGTGTGTGTGTGTGTGTGTGTGTGTGTATCTGATCTCCAGAACAAATGTATTTCAAATAAATATCCTAAAAGTTTCCCCAACACATAATTTTTGATAATAAGTTGAGTTTCCTTTCTGTAGTATTTTCTTGGACGTTTTGTTTAAAATGAGAAAAGAGTCTTTAATCCCACACAGAATTCCTTTAACAACTCCTTACTTTAACTGTAAGCGCACCAACGCTTCTGTAAATTATGAATATCTGCAACTGTACAGTATTTCCTGCTCAGAGGAATGGCGTGCTCTATTAATTCCCCCCCTGAACGCACCGTGCAGCGGAGCAGCTGATGCAGTCGTCTGTCCGCGGCCCCGTGCATTTCAGACACGTTGCATCACACGCAGCGCACATCCCGTCTGCGTCCAGAAACTCTCCTGGAACACAGAGAGGCAAGAGACTCACACGTTAACAACCATCTGAGGCGCGCATACCGTAAAGATACATACTGTAAAGATACACACTGTACAAGATATATACTGTACCATAAATATATACATGCTAATAAACACAATGGGCTTTTGGCTGAAATATATCGTAATAATAATAATATCAATAACAAAAGTAGTTTGTAATAATACAAATATAAATTATAATAATTGCAAAAAATAATTATATAATTTTGAGTATAATAAAATAAATAATACAAAATGTTTACTAATTATAATAACAATAATAATTGTAATAACTAATAGTTAAAATAATAATAGTACAAATAAAAGTAATAAAATAATAATAATCAAAAAATAATATTGATAATAAAATAAATAATAGTTAATACATTAATAATACAAATAATAATAACACCATGTTTTTACAGCACCTCTCATATCACTAATTCAGCAGAAACTGCTTTAAAATAACGCCATTAACACCAAGGTATAATGCCATAATTAACTTAAAGGGGACCTATCACGCAAAATGCACCTTTTGATGTCTTTTATACATAAATACGTGTCCCCGGTGTGTCTGGGAACTCACGCAGCGTCAGAAAATAAAACCCTCTCTCTTTTCCTCCGTACCCAAATCTCTAAAAACGGGGGAACAACGGAGCTGATCCAGATTTGCGTCCAATATGACGTAATATCTGAAATGTGGACCCACGGCCCTATCAGAAACGTTGCTATCAGAAACAATGCCCGACTGTTTTGGACGTAATATGGTCGGTGTTTACATTAGCATCGCTAACACTCAGAGCTAACCTGTACTGGAGAGCATGTGTGTGAAGAAGCAGGAAATCAAAAGGAACTCACCTTGTGGTATAACCGGCAAGAGAGAAAGCCTTTGAGCTCCATACTGTTTCAGAAACAATCCTTGATAATCCATGATATGGCGTTTCATCACGGCAGTATTTAGTTTAGACAGTAGCTGCCGGGTCCCACATGAGCTCAGACCCCTACTTTTTTATTTGTATCAATTCTTTTTTTTTTTAAAGCTTTATACCAAAATCAGCATTTTAGAAACAGGAAGTGAAATAGAGGGATATGAGGCATGGCTAGAATGGGTGATCTGTTTTGTATTTTGAGCAAAACACTTCATAGACATGTTTTTTATATATCTGAGACCTATGCTATTGCCTACAAATAGCATGATAGGTGACCTTTAAAATATGACGTAAAATAAAACTTGAAACTTGATATAAGAACCCAAATTATAAAACATAGAATGCATAAAATGGAGATAAAAACCACACTAAATAATGATAATTCAGTGCCAATACTGAACAAAGCATCACCAAGATTCATCCATTCTCCTCTCTATGTTCTTCTCTCTTCTCTCTTGGTAGAGATTTGTACGTTTTAGGACTAAAATGTAGTAAAAAGCAATTTGCCTGAAGTTTATTCTACCAATCCTGTAACAGCAGGTCTCCGTGTCTGTAAATAAACACGACAGAACCTGTTATCCCCAAAATATGACCCAGACGGGGGATTGTGAATATATAATTGTAAACTCAAACATCAGCAGCTGTGTTTGTGATGTTCTGCTCTATATTTATCTAGCAGCAGAGAGCCAGAGGAACAAAGATGGCCGACCGTCGGTGCAGGCGGTGTTCAGCACACAGGCTCCGTGCTGCAGGCGGTGACCGCTGGAACAGCTGCTGCATTCCCCCCCGCTCGGCCCTGAACAGGTGAGACAGCTGGCGTCACACCTGAGGACGAGAGAGAGAGACACTGAACACATGCACACACACACACACACTGAAAAGCAAATAATTACAGAGGACATAATCTGCTCCGTTTAATTTTTATATTTAGTGCCTCTCCTGTGACATGTCTCCATGCTTTAATGTTCAAAAAGCTCTTTATTTTTCTCACCCTCTGTCTGAAACCAGAGCCCAGTCTGCTCTGATTGGTTAGCTGGCCGGCTCTGTTGTGATTGGTCAACCACTTAGATATGTCCCACCCCTAAGCCTATCACGTACAATGTGTTTGGAGCGCTAGCCAATAGGAGCGCACATGTTACATACTGATGTCACTATGTTCAGGAACGTTGGGATTTTAGCCCCTGCAGACCATTTACATGCACTAAAACCTGTATAACACACTACAGGAGAGGTGAACCCATTATAGGGCCACTGCTTAAATAACTCTATTACAAGTAAAAGTCCCTTTACTTAAGTACACAAGTATTATCAGCTAACACACACGCACACGCACACGCACACACACACACACACACACACACACACACACACACACACACACACACACACACACACCTGTCATCAGCAGATAAACACTCCTCCCACACCTGAACACACACCAGTGCTCACCTCCTACACACTCTGTTCTCAGCAGCCACCTCTGCGTAGAATCCGTCGCTGCAGGAGGACACACACCTCCACTCCTCCATCAGGTGACCGTCTGCACAGCTGGAGCACAGCGCTACACCTGCACCTGATGGGGCACGGTGCATTAAAGAAGGTTTTTTTAAATAGAAACAAGTCACAGGAGAGAACTGCAAGAAAACATGTGATGTGTTCTGATGTAGGGCTGGACGATGTCTTACTATACCTCGATATGGGTCATTTAATATCTTGATAACAATATAGAATCACAATATATAATGTTTTCTAGTGATAAGATAGAATAAATAGTCTTTATACATTCCCACAATTTTTGTTTATTCCTGTGGGAATTTTACATTCAAATAAATACATACAAATTAAACATTTAATAGGTACAATTAAGTATATAAATGTATATATTTCCAGCTGAACATTGATTATATTTTCATGCATTGCACACAGAGCATACAAGGCAATATTTGTTATTAAAAATACCCATTAAAAGAGGGAAGCTTTAGTCCAGTTTGTCAACTTTTTCAAATGATGCCACCTTTAAAGAGGTGACCTTTGACCTCACCTGCACAGGTAGCGCAGGCCTCATCACAGGCTCTGCATGTTCCCTCCTGCTCGTCGTGGAAAAATCCCACAGAGCAGCTCTGCTGGCAGCGGTTCCCCTGCAGACTGCAGAGCATGTGTCACACACACACACACACACACACACACACACACACACACACACACACACACACACACACACACACACACACACACACACACACACACACACACACACACACACACACACACACACACACACACACACACACACACACACACACACACACACACACTAATCATGAGACACCGTGAAGATGACTCAGTGCCTCCAGCCCACAGCCCACCACCCAGCAGTACTTGATGAACTGAGTCAGTGAACACAGCATCCCGGAAACGTCTAACTCTACTGTAGTTCCGTCTAATCCAAAAATGTATGTATCCACATGTAGCAATGAGCTTGACTCCAACAAAAATACGTCTCAGGTAAGTTTGGCTGACTCAAACAAAAGGTATCAGTACAAACACATATTTTCAAAGGTCAAAAATGTATATTGCTCCGTGATTCTTTTCTCCTTCTAATTACCAGCAGCTGCGGTCGGCGATGACGTCAATTTTACAACGGCTGGTTTAAATAAATGATATAATAATACTAATAACAAAGAATTACAATGTTCAAATATATCTATACGTATCCATACATAATATATAAAATTATACATTTTAACATATGCCTACATTTACAAAATGGCGATTGATTTGGGATGTTTTCCCGTGGCACGATGAGGTGATGGGACTTCTGGTCTTTTGGATAATACTGGGAAACACAGAGAGGAGGCTGAACTGATGTCGACTGATACTAGGCCGACCTGGAAGCTAGCACCCTTGAAATTAAGATGGACGAGTTTTGGGATTTTTGGGGATTTCTTTTGAATTTTTGGGAATTCTTTTGAATTTTTGGGAATTCTTGGAAATATTTTAGAATTTTTTGGAATTTCTTGGAATTTTTGGGAATTTTTCTTTTTGAGCTTTGTGTGTAAAGAGGAGGAAAGCACAGTAATTTGAATGGACAAAAAAAACTGTTGCTTTTTCTAATTGTTATGATGCTGCAGAACGTGTGTGTGTGTGTGTGTGTGTGTGTGAGAGAGTGTGAGTATGAGTATGAGTATGAGTATGAGTGTGAGTGTGAGTGTGAGTGTGAGTGTGAGTGTGAGTGTGAGTGTGAGTGTGAGTGTGTGTGTGTGTGTGTGTGTGTATGTGTTTACGGAACATTTCTCTCCGCTCACCTGGTGTCTGGTTTGCACTCGGTGCAGACCCTGGAGGACGTGCACTTCAGACAGCTCTCACTGCACTCCCTGCACACGTTTGCATCTGTGGGGAAATTAAACAACACGCACATCAGAGCCATTTCATCAATCTCCCTCACACACCCCTCAACTGCACTCACATCAACTGACTATTCATTATCCGGCTCAGATGCAGCTGGTTACACACCAACCATGGACCCTCACAGGTGGAGGAGGCTCTTTCTGTATTGTTCAAGTGTAACTTCTGTATTTTTCAACACATTTTCCAATGATATTGTGTCTTAGTGACTAATGGGGTCAACACTTTTTTAATTTGTCATGTTTAGAGAATTAAGGAAATCTGCAGTCGCTAAAAGGGTTGCATTGCCCAAAATATTCCCTTTAATATGTAATAAGGAGGCCTTCATATATTTATATGAGAGCCTGAAAACTGCATTTTATTGACATTTTTCTTTTTGAAACCTTATTGAAATCGCAAAATGGACCAGTGCAATATTCAAATAGCAGGAAACACATTATTTGTTTAAAGGTTTGTATTTAGGAGGTGCAGAGATATACAGGCCAACAAATGATATTCTATAGACTTCAAAAAACACATTTGTTTGGTACAAATCTTCATGACTGCACTCACATCACATGACTATTCATTATCCGGCTCAGATGCAGCTGGTTACACACCAACCATAGACCCTCACAGGTGGAGGAGGCTCTTTCTGTATTGTTCAAGTGTAACTTCTGTATTTTTCAACACATTGTCCAATGATATTGTGTCTTAGTGACTAATGGGGTCAACACTTTTACATTTGTCAAGTTTAGAGCATGAATGAAGTCTGCAGGCGCTAAAAGGGTTGCTTTGTTATCCTACCTTGCAATCCCGTACCATCATAAACGTCCATTAAAATGTCTTGTTGTGATCATAAGTAATAGCAGCATTAGAGAGAGGACCCTACAGAGGAATAAGCTTTTTTATTTGCCCATCATATGATCTAGTTTATTTGTTATTGTCTCTATCCAATAGTTATTGTTCTGATATCTACAGAAACACCACATCCACATTGTTGGAATGGGATGAATACGCTTTGCTTTCTGAACAACACAACACAACACACACGTTCTGAATCTCTCTCCTGTTTCCACCTTTGTCTTACGGAAAGAAGTCTCCTCTTCTGAGATTTCAAATCAAGTTTCTTGGCTGCACTTTTCTTTAAAACTTGAACAATTTCAAACTCTTGTCCCATTACTCACTTAGACACAATATCATGGGAACACAGGGTCCAGGTCAAAACACAGAGAAGTTTACCTTTGATGAGTCAGTAGACAAGTAGGCAAATAATGTGATAATTGTTTAAGCGTTTCAGTCATATTTCATGCAAAATTGGAAATTCAGAAACTTTGCACGACTTTTTTAGACACACAAAAACAGACCGGATTCATGCGGGAAATTCCTTATTAGTTACTAAGACACAAAATCATGCAATACTTTAAAGGGGACCTATCATGCAAAATGCACTTTTTGATGTCTTCTATACATCAATATGTGTCCCCGGTGTGTCGGGGAACTCACGCAGCGTCAGAAAATAAACCCCTCTCTCTTTTCCTCCGTACCCAAATCTCTAAAAACGGGGGAACAACGGAGCTGATCCAGATTTGTGTCCGATATGACGTAATATCTGAAATGTGGACCCACAGCCCTATCAGAGACGTTGCTATCAGAAACAATGCCAGACTGTTTTGGACGTAATATGGTCGGTGTTTACATTAGCATCGCTAACACTCAGAGCTAACCTGTACTGGAGAGCATGTGTGTGAAGAAGCAGGAAATAAAAAGGAACTCACCTTGTGGTATAACCGGCAAGAGAGAAAGCCTTTGAGCTCCATACTGTTTCAGAAACAATCCTTGATAATCCATGATATGGCGTTTCATCACGGCAGTATTTAGTTTAGACGGTAGCTGCCGGGTCCCGCATGAGCTCAGACCCCTCCTTTTTTTTTAAAGCTTTATACCCCAAATCAGCACTTTTGAAACAGGAAGTGAAATAGAGGGATATGAGGCATGGCTAGAATGGGTGATCTGTTTGGTATTTTGAGCAAAACACTTCATAGACATGTTTTTTATATATTTGTATATATCTGAGACCTATGCTATTGCCTAAAAGTAGCATGATAGGTGACCTTTAAGATACCAAAGTTACCCTTTAAGTTTAACTACCAAACATGTGATAGAAACTCACCTCTTTGCACTGGCTTTTAATACTAGTTGATCATAACATTTTTACATTTGTATGTGTTTTTATGTTGTAATCATGTTTTTAATTATTGTGTTATTTTATCTCCTGAATGTTGTAAGTCTCTTGTTGTGCAGCACTTTGGTCAACTGAGGTTGTTTTAAATGTGCTATATATATATAAATAACACCACATGTTTGAGGTCAGATATCCTACCGTGGTCCAGGTAGTATTTCTCTCCACAGGAGGCGCTGCAGGTGTTGGTTTCCTCCGTCAGGTGATGTTTGGGTAAACAGGAAGTGCACTGATCACTGCGACTTCCTGTGCAGCTCTCGCAGGACGAGAAGCATCTCTTACAGCGCCGCCGGTCGCCCCAGAACCCCCGCGGACACTCGGACACACACATCCTGTCGGACACACACACACACACACACAGAGAGAGGTGAGACTCTTTACATGAGTGGGAGTGAGGTTCCTTTTTTAACCATCATAATGTGAAATCATGGCCATTTCTTGAGTTCAAAATCTTGTATTAAAGCTGATGATTGTATATTTACTGCTTATTTTACTACTAAAAGTGCTGCTAATCTACTACAACTTGTGATATTAATAGTACTGCTAATGTTGCAGATACTACTGGTAATGGTACTACCAAAAGTGCTGCAAATTCTACTACAACTACGGATAATAATACTTCTATTGATGCTGATAATTGTATTAATATTGCTAATTTTACTACCTAATCTACTACAACTTGTGATATTAATAGTACTACTAATGTTGCAGATACTACTGGTAATTGTACTACTAAAAGTGCTGCTAATCTACTACAACCACTGCTGCTGATACGATAACTATCACTGCTAATTGTACTGCTGATAAAACTTTTGCAAATTCTACTTCAACATTTTTGCTAAATCAACTTCAACCAGTTCAAAATCTTGCAAAATATACAAAAAGATGGACTTTATAACAGATACTTTTCATTTTGCTGCAATAAATGTTTTTTTTTAAACTATAGATTGATGTGTTCATGGTTTCTCTGTCTATCTATCTAAGAAAAGCAGGAAATCTCTATATTGTTTAGGCTGAAAACAGCATTTCATGATGTTTTGTATTAAAATGACCATAGCTAATTCAAAAAAGGAGGAGGACTAGTTGAAAAGTTGACTAATCGTTGCCGCTCTGAACACTTCGATCACATACTATACTAAGGCTGCACAATAAGTCCATTTCATCCAAATCGCAATACAGTATGAACTAGTGCAATAGTTAAAGCCCAATGTTTGTTAAAGGCTAGATATGTGATCAAATATCATAATAAAGAATTGTGGAGCTGCAGAAACATTCAGGCCTACAAATCATAGTCTACAGACTTAATGGAATATATTTGTTTGATAAGTGTAAACTTCTTCCCACCCCTTTAAGGATGTGTAATTCAAGGGCCCATGTCATGCTTTTCTGGTTCTTACCCGTCCCCTTGTGTGTTATGAAGGTTGTTCTGCATGTAAACGGTCTGCAGAGTCACAAACCCTCAAAGTACACCCTGTAGCGAGTAAAACTCTAACACAGAGAAGACCTGTCTATGCTGCCCCAGAATGCCTCGTTGGAGACTTCTCTTTTTCCATTGTTTACTTCCTGGGTTCTGTGAACACCCAGATCAACAACAAATGACCGGATTGGCCCAAATGGACCAATCCGTGGAGCACCTCACACACCTGGATCCCTTGGCTAACTAACAGGGAGTCCCAATTGACTTGCATAGAGCTCCCTGAGCGCTGGTAATAGACGAGTTGGGATGGTGGAGAAATGCTCTCCGCAGACCCATTCTCACAGCGTTTATAAACCTTTTTCTTACTCAATATCAAGCCACACTTATTGTTTTTACTTCGGCTGTGAGTGTGTGTGTGTGCTCAGGATGAGTTTCGCGCTGTCCCGCTGTATCGCCGACCCGGAAACCTGTCCGCTCCTCGCTGGCGAGCAGCAACGAGCCTCGCAACGCCCCGACCAATCAGAGCACACTTGGTTCACAGGGAGGGGGGGTGGCAGGAGCTCCAACAAGCCGTTTAGGACAGAGAGTGAATACACATACTATACAGAGATGCTGTATGAGAAACCAATGTGAGTTTGGAAAATTGCACAATATAAATATATTTTAGTAGACCTCAACAATGGAAATATGATCAGTAGAAATGGCCATGACATGGGACCTTTAAGTCGATTATTTGTTTATATATAATTTAGAATCAGTAACATTTTGTATTGTATAATAATTCTCATGTTAACTATTTGTATTATTGTTTTACACATTCAAAATAAATCTAATCAAATCAAATCAAAGACCCAGTAAAATATTATTTCAATGATTTTGAGATTTGACAAATTAACAATTCCTCCAACATCATGAATCATAATTGCAATAATATATTTTACACGTGTATTTTTCTATGAGCTTGTTTTATTTAATTATTTTTGGCTTTTTCATGTTTTTAAATGCCATTTTATAATGTGATTCCACTGCATTTTCTTTGCACATTGCATTCTGGGTGTTCGCTCTGCTCTCCCTCTCTGAATCCGGCTGACCTTGTGCTGTTCTTGAACTTGAGGAAGAAGTGTGAACATGTGACACACTGCTGCGGGCCGGGCCCCTCACAACCATCAGCGTTGCATTCTGGGTCGCAAGGTCCTGGAAGGGAAAACAAACATAACGTCACCACGGAGGAAACAACACACACTGCTGACGGAGCAAAAAACTCCACCAGTGAATATCAGAGAGGAAACTCAGTGGACATTTTTTTTAAACGTACACATCTTTTTAGATTAGCAACACCCCTCTTTTAATTGGTCTTTCAATCGTTATAATTTATTTGTAGACAGTTGTATTTGTTTATTTATTCTATAGGTTTTCATTTATATATATTTTACAGCTTCATTAGCGACGTCCCTTTTTTATTCTCATTATTTATTTATTTATTATCAGTATTTGTATTATTGTATTTATTTATTTTGCCTTTACTTTTATAATTTTGTATTTTATTGCATTTTCTTATTCTTATCATACCCTTTACCTCCGTGTGTCCCACTGTAATCCTGGATTCCCCCTATATCAAAAAAGGTTCATCTTAATCTCTTAATATATTGTTGCTGTGCTGCATGTGTTTGACCTGAAGTGAAGTTCTTGTTTTTAGTTTTAACCGTGACGTGTGCCATGTTGGTTAAAGCACTTTGAGCTGCACCTGGTTCAAGGTTCAAGGTTCAAGGTTCTTTATTGTCAAACTAACATAGCTACAGAGTAATTATGTCGTTGAAAATCTCTTATGTCACAGGCTTCTCCAACAATGCAACATAATAACAATACAGATAGCAAGAGCCATACAAAAAGAAAAATAGTTATAAAATAAAGTGATGATGTGGAATAGTGCAGTACGAGTCTATATACAAGTTATTGGAATGATATATATTAGATACATATTACTGAGTAGCAGATGAATGTTTTGAAGTTGTTTCAGCAGTTCAATTGTTTAACAGTCTCACTGGTGTATGGAAAGAGCTTTACAAATATTATTATTATTATTATTATTATAACTCTGCATTACAGTGCGGTCACATGACTCACTGCTGTACTCCTCAGTGAGGTCACTATCCATCGGCGTCTCAGCAGATCTCACTCGATGCCTGGGGTACGGTGGCCCCGAGGTGCCAAAAATCACCAGGGAGATCTCCTTTAGCCTCCCTGTGAAACCTAAAGAGATGAGAGGAAGATGAGAGGAAGATGAGAGGAAGATGAGAGGAAGATGAGAGGAAGATGAGAGGAAGATGAGAGGAAGATGAGAGGAAGATGGGGGGCATGTAAATAGTAGCAGGAACCGTAAAGACCTTAAAGGAGTAGAAATACTCACTGTATTTTAGCTGCTGCGCTTTAAAGGTCACCTATTATGCAAAATATACTTCTTCATGTCTCTTCTACATCAACATGTGTCCCCTCTTCTTCATGTCTCTTCTACATCAACATGTGTCCCCTCTTCTTCATGTCTCTTCTTCATCAACATGTGTCCCCTCTTCTTCATGTCTCTTCTACATCAACATGTGTCCCCTCTTCTTCATGTCTCTTCTTCATCAACATGTGTCCCCTCTTCTTCATGTCCTCTTCTACATCAACATGTGTCCCCTCTTCTTCATGTCTCCTCTACATCAACATGTGTCCCCTCTTCTTCATGTCTCTTCTACATCAACATGTGTCCCCTCTTCTTCATGTCTCTTCTACATCAACATGTGTCCCCTCTTCTTCATGTCTCTTCTACATCAACATGTGTCCCCTCTTCTTCATGTCTCTTCTACATCAACATGTGTCCCCTCTTCTTCATGTCTCTTCTACATCAACATGTGTCCCCTCTTCTTCATGTCTCTTCTACATCAACATGTGTCCCCTCTTCTTCATGTCTCTTCTTCATCAACATGTGTCCCCTCTGTGTAAAGAGACTCTGAAAGTTTCAGGAACAAAGATTCTCTCTCTTTTTCTCCTGATCCATTTTTATAAAAACCTGTCTGAAAATGAGCTGATCAGATTTTGGCCACTTGATGATGTCATAACGATGTTTTGGCTTGTGTAACCATTAGCCAATCACCAACCAAGGTAACCCCCCCCCCCCCCACCTTATCACCTGAATCTCCTCCTAGAGCACCATTGAGTTCTTTGTAACCAAATCTCTCTCAGAGGGGCGTGGGGAGGGGCTCCTTATTTTCATCTAAAGTAACAGACAGAGAATCAGCACTTTGGAAACAGGGCTGAAACAGAGGGGATTATGGGATGCTGCAATGATCTGTTTGGTGTTTCAGCCAATCAGAGACAGGCTCTGTATATATCTGAGAAACAGTATAATAGGGGACCTTTAATGTGTGTAATTATCATTATTGTGTGATGCTACAGACCTGGTTTCTCCCTCCTCTCAGAGGAAGAGTCTCTGATCTTCAGAGTCCACCCCCCCGCTGCCGGCTCCCCCCAGCTGTGAGTCGTCATCAGTTCCCACGCCGGAAACCCCTCGGTGGAGTCGTCAAAGGGCCTGAACACAAACGTTACATAATCAGGAAAAATACTACTACTAACACTACTACTACTACTGCTGCTGCTGATAGTACTATTACCAAACTACTGTATTTCTACTGATTATTCAAATACTTAAAGTACTGCTTACTCGACTACAACTACTATTAGTGCTGATGATAATACTACTACTACTACTACTGCTGATTCTAATAGTACTATTACTACTGCATTTCTACTGCTTATTCAAATACTTAAAGTACTGCTTACTCGACTAAAACTACTATTAGTGCTGGTGATAATACTATTACTTCTGTATTTCTTCTGCTGCTTATTCAAATGCAAAAAGTACTGCTTATTCGAATACAACTACTACGACTGCTGATGATAGTACTGTTACTATGTACTTCTACCGATTCAAATACTAAAAGTACTGCTTACTCGACTACAACTACTATTAGTGCTGGTGATAATACTATTACTGTATTTCTACTGCTGCTTATTCAAATACTAAAAGTACTGCTTATTTGAATACAACTACTGCTGCTGATAATACTATTACTACTGCTTATTAAAATACTAAAAGTACTACTTATTCAAATACTAAAAGTACTATTTATTCAAATACAAAAAGTACTGCTTATTCCAATACAACTACTACGACTGCTGATGATAATACTACTACTACTACTGCTGATTCTAATAGTACTATTACTACTGCATTTCTACTGCTTATTAAAATACTAAAAGTACTGCTTATTCGAATACGCAGTACTGCTGATGATAATACTACTACTACTACTACCACTACTGCTGCTGATTCTAATAGTACTATTACTACTGTATTTCTACTGCTTATTAAAATACAGAAAGTACTGCTTATTCGATTACAACTACTACGACAGAAACAGAACTTTGTCACAGCCGGTTGTTTTGCTGTAATGCAAACGGGGGATGCTAATACTAATTCTACTACCAAATATTTGCATATAGGTCTGTACAATAGATAGCATTATACAGAACATACAGAACATGTAGCATAACCTAGCATTGCATCATTCCTGCCTACATATAATTATTGTTGTTAACGCTCTTAAATGCTTACATTTTTGACTTTGGCTTTAACACCAACTGAATTACTGTGAACACCACAACCACCACGATTTGAACAAAGTCATTAAGACTCAAGTTTGTCTCGTTGCTTTTCTCTGTGTTGTTGGCATTACAGTTGGCAAGCTGCAAACTGCATGGAGTTGAAATTTGCCAACAATTAAAAAATGCCAGATTCCCGCTCTGCTACCAGTTTACTGAACCATATGAGCACAACTCGGGGAGTGTTTGCCAACATCAAAATGTTTTTCTGTAATGAGACAATGTGCCAAACTGACAAATTAAACACTGTGGAGAATTGTGCTTAAAACTAAAGTGTTAATTGATGCTTATACATTACTGTTTAACAGAAACCATGAGGAGCTTTACGGTGAGGATGTGTGGTTGGATATTCCTCAAATGATTTAGCATTTGTCTGAGCTACCTGTTGGAGCCATTTATAATGAAATATTATGAATGTTTTGTATGTGATGTTTTATTATTGTTTTGATTGATGCCGACTACCTTGGTTGCTGATTGGCTAATGGTTACACAAGCCCAAACATCGTTATGACATCACAAAGTGGACAAAATCTGATCAGCTCATTTTCAGACAGGTTTTTATATAAATGGATCAGGACAAAAAGAGAGAGAATCTTTGTTCCTGAAACTTTAAGAGTGTCTTTCCACAGAGGGGACACATGTTGATGAAGAAGAGACATGAAGAAGAGGGGACACATGTTGATGTAGAAGAGACATGAAGAAGAGGGGACACATGTTGATGAAGAAGAGACATGAAGAAGAGGGGACACATGTTGATGAAGAAGAGACATGAAGAAGAGGGGACACATGTTGATGTAGAAGAGACATGAAGAAGAGGGGACACATGTTGATGTAGAAGAGACATGAAGAAGAGGGGACACATGTTGATGTAGAAGAGACATGAAGAAGAGGGGACACATGTTGATGTAGAAGAGACATGAAGAAGAGGGGACACATGTTGATGAAGAAGAGACATGAAGAAGAGGGGACACATGTTGATGTAGAAGAGACCTGAAGAAGAGAGGACACATGTTGATGTAGAAGAGACATGAAGAAGAGGGGACACATGTTGATGTAGAAGAGACATGAAGAAGAGGGGACACATGTTGATGTAGAAGAGACATGAAGAAGAGGGGACACATGTTGATGTAGAAGAGACATGAAGAAGAGGGGACACATGTTGATGTAGAAGAGACATGAAGAAGAGGGGACACATGTTGATGTCGAGGAGACATGAAGAAGAGGGGACACATGTTGATGTAGAGGAGACATGAAGAAGAGGGGACACATGTTGATGTAGAGGAGACATGAAGAAGAGGGGACACATGTTGATGTAGAAGAGACATGAAGAAGAGGGGACACATGTTGATGAAGAAGAGACATGAAGAAGAGGGGACACATGTTGATGTAGAAGAGACATGAAGAAGAGGGGACACATGTTGATGTAGAAGAGACATGAGAAGAGGGGACACATGTTGATGTAGAAGAGACATGAAGAAGAGGGGACACATGTTGATGTAGAGGAGACATGAAGAAGAGGGGACACATGTTGATGTAGAAGAGACATGAAGAAGAGGGGACACATGTTGATGAAGAAGAGACATGAAGAAGAGGGGACACATGTTGATGTAGAAGAGACATGAAGAAGAGGGGACACATGTTGATGTAGAAGAGACATGAAGAAGAGGGGACACATGTTGATGTAGAAGAGACATGAAGAAGAGGGGACACATGTTGATGAAGAAGAGACGTGAAGAAGTGGATGTTGCACAATAGGTGACCTTTAATGTGGATGCGCTTTGATCTTTTTCTGACCGCTCGTAACACTACCTGTTATTGAGCAGCTTGGACTCGGTGCCTGATGGAGATGTGAGCGTGATGGAGAGGTCTCCGCGGCGCCGATGATCGATGGAGAGCCGGACGACCACATGCTCCACGAAAACAACTCGAGAAGAGCAGCCGCTGCTCTGAAACACCGACGTCAGCACCGAGCCCGGGAACATAGCTCTGTGGTGTCAGGAACACGGGGAAAAGACACACAGTGAGAAGTGAGATGTAGTTAAGCACATTGGCTGGCAGAGAACTCTCTGTTCCATAGCTTCTCTTGGACTTAAAATCACACTGTACATTTGACTATTCAGTTCAATATTTAATATCCCATCACTCACATACTTAAGTATATATAATAACTTGCTTTATATTTTGTTATTGTTAATTTGTAAATTCAACATGTATATTTTCTACTTTCTTGTTTATTTCTAGTCTTTTAATTTTGATTGTACAATGCCTTTAGTCATTGTACTTTACCTGAGTATTTAGAATAGATTAGATGTACTTAACTGATCCCAAATCAGGAAATAGTTTTGACACAGAAGCATTTTAACAAAGCATTACCCAACAGTTATAAATATAATAAAATAAATCAAACAATAAACAGTATTAATACATATCTAAACAGTAGGAAGGTAATTTAAATCATGCGACATGCAATCTAAAATGGAAATAGACCAATCTACTACTAAAAAACGAAACAATAATGCTCTGAATGGTTAGCTGGCCAGCTCTGTTGTGATTGGTCAACCGCTTAGAGACACGTACAATGTGTTGGAGCGCTAGCCAATAGATGTCCGAGTGTTACATAGTGATGTCACCATGTTCCGGAAGTAAAATATATCTGTATATTTCATGCAGATCACCATCCAGCTGCAATATGTTTATTATTCAGATGAGTTTTATTTTGGCTTCAGGGGAGGCGCAGCGGGAGAAAAAAATAACCGAGAAACAGTGAAATCTAGCTGGTTAACTTCAGCTAACTTTATGCGAGCGGCAACATGGATCGATTTTTAGTGAAGTTACTAAATATAAATAAATATTTGAAAGTGAGAGAGGAGACAGCGGCCGTTTCTCAATGTCGAGTAAACCTGCTGCAGAGCCACTATTTCAAGTATACTACTTCATCGAGTGGCGCAGAAGGACTGTTTAATTTCATGTTAAATGCCCAGCATTCGGCGCCACTCGATGGCGTAGTATACTTGAAATAGTGGCTCTGCAGCAGGTTTACTCGACATTGAGAAACGGCCAGCGTCTGGCAGAAAACGGAGGAAGTATGACCACGATTATTTGAAGCTAGGATTTTCATGGACCGGTCCTGGCAGGGGTGGACTGGCCATCTGTGTGTTCTGGAGAATCACAGAACGGCCGGTCGTCAGCGGGCCGTTGACAGCCGGCACCGCCCTTTATTTTAATTGTAATAATACTTACTTTGATCAAAAGCCAGTACGGGTCAAGGCTGCAGCCAGAGGAGGATCTGCGTTTATTCCTGTCTACATTGCATCCCCGCATCATCCACCTGTGCGCATCAACGACGCAGACTCATTGTTCCCACTAAAGTAGGGCTGAGTGTGATAAGGAGGCAAAGCTGACGTTCAGTGTGTTGCCGGGAGCAGATACGGATTTATCCACGATGTTGAAAATGTTTTTAAAAAATGTTTAAAACATGATTAAAAGGTTTTTAAAAGTTATTGTTTAATGTTTTAAGGAGGTGACGCTACTCAGCCAATCAAATGGGTGCAGTCAGTGAGTCAGCACGATATATTCAAACTCACACAGAGACGAGACAAGAGGAGAGAAACAGTCGGAGTCATTTCAAATGGCGCGCTCAAAACAGAGAAAGGTAACTGGATAAATCCCACAAGGGATAATAGGGCCTCTTTAAGATTTGAAATGCAATCTTTCCACTGGTAACAGAGTATTCTTACAAGTAAGTATTGACAGATCTGAGTTCACTCTCCACCGCTGCACAGAGTGGGTGGCAGAGCGCAGAGAAACAAGAAGGGGAAGTAACGAGGAAGAGAAGCGTTCAAATAAAAGTGTGTGTGAGAATCGATGCGAGAGGAATCCATGAAGCGAGACAGGAATAGATGAAGTGTGATGAAAGAGGCGGGATGAAGGGGGAGTCCTGACGTCACGCCGAGCGACGGTTCGATACCTGCTGATCTGAGGGTCCTCCTGAACGCAGCTCCGCTGAGCCGGGACCCGTCTCCAACGCTGAGCCTCCAGAATCATCGCCTCGGCATCCAGCAGGCCGAAACCATACAGGTGGCTCACTGACACACACACACACACACACACACACACAACACACACACACACACACACACACACACACACACACACACACACACACACACACACACACACACACACACACACACACACACACACACACACACACACACACACACACACACACACACAGAGAGAGAGACACACACACACACACACACACACACACACACACACACACACACACACACACACACACACACACACACACACACACACACACACACACACACACACACACACACACACACACACACACATTAACTGGGGCATCAAAGCTTCTCTGATGGAGAACATGACGCAGCCTGAGACTCTGTAGGCGTTTTATTACTCAGTCTCTCATTAGCAGTGATGCAGACACTCAAGTGCTTTAGTGCACATTTGAGATACTTTAAGTGAGTTTATAATAATAATAATATACAAAATTAAATTAAATAAATAACTACAGAAAATAATAATAATATTTATAAAAATAATAAAACGAATAAATAATAATATAAAAGATAATAATATTAAAGAAACAATTAAAAAATAAATACAAATAATAATAATATGAATTAAAAGAGACATTTTAATAATAGTTATAATTATACTTTTTTGGAGGCACCTTTCAGGCCAGCCAAGGACACCTTACAATGCATTAAAAAATTGAATAAGGTAAAAAAAAAAAGCAGGACAGACATAACAAATATATAAATGATCTGTATTTGCCAAAATAAATTAAAAACAATAAAAAAATCACACCATGATTATTTTAATGTATGTATCGTAAATCATGTCGTTATTAATTCCAATTTGTCACAATTTGTTTTGCAATCAGATCAGATTAAGCAGAATTGAGATGGGAGTACCTCTGAATCCGGCTCCGTTCACGCTCCAGTCCGGATCAGGAAGACGATGGGATTTTGATGTTCGGACAATAATGTGTTGAACATCCCTCCAGGTCAGAAGAGGGCTGAGGAGGGGTCAACCAGAGAGGGATACACTTCATACGACCATCACTGGGTGAAGCAATTAACGCAGTGTGTGTGAGTGTGTGTGTGTGTGTGTGTGTGTGTGTGTGTGAGTGTGTGTGAGTGTGTGTGTGTGTGAGTGAGTGAGTGAGTGAGTGTGTGTGTGTGTGTGTGCTTGGCCTGCAGTGTGTGTGTGTGTGAGTGTGTGTGTGTGTGAGTGTACTTGGCCTGCAGTGAGTGAGTGAGTGAGTGTGTGTGTGTGTGTGTGTGAGTTTGTGTGTGTGTGTGAGTTTGTGTGTGTGTATGTCTGTGTGTCTGTGAGTGTGAGTGTACTTGGCCTGCAGTGAGTGAGTGAGTGTGTGTGTGTGTGTGTGTGTGTGTGTGTGTGTGTGTACTTGGCTTGCAGAGTGAGTGAGTGAGTGAGAGTGTGTGTGTGAATGTCTGTGTGTGTGTGTGTGTGTGTGTGTACTTGGCCTGCAGAGTGAGAGCGATGACCCCTGCTCCCACAGAGGAGGACAGCGAGGAGGCAGCTGTCGTCCGGCTGCAGCTCTTCTGAGGACCGAGCGTTACCTGTAAAACACACCAGAGCCTTTTAGCTTTTTCACATGCAACTGTATTCACCTGCAGCTACACACACCTTCGCCTGTCTTCTTTATTCAAGGACCCTAAAGAGGCCCTATTCAGCTGCTTGGGGTTTTCCCGTCTTTCCTTCTTCCTTTAGTCTCAGAGGCACATGAGATCAATCGTTCAGACAAAACCATTTTTAGCTTATATATGTATTCTGCATTTTGTATTGTTTTTTTTTTAAATTGCTGTTGTCAAATTTTTCTTATGTACTTTTAGTTATTTTATTTATTTTTTAAATTATTTTGTTGGTTGTACATGTTGTGTATTAATCTCAATTAAAATGTGATCACAAAAAATAATCATTGAGACAAAACCAACAGTTGTTTATTAAACATGTAATTAGGGTTAAAACGATCATAAATGACATTACACATACAAGGATTGACTGGAACTATAAAGGTGTGTAATGTAGTTAAAGTCTGCACAGGACACGAGTCATTTATATGTACTTTTTCAGTATTTAACTCATCTACTAGATCCATGATCCTGACATCGATTGCTTTTGTCTTCACCCACTTATCTGAGGATGTACAGTATTCAGTGGGTGTTTCTCAATCGCGAGTAAAGCTGCTTCAGAGCCACTATTTCAAGCATACTACGTCATCGAGTGCCGCCGAAGGACTGTTCCAATCTCCAGCATACTTGGAAATCTACCGAGCCCGGCGTACTCCGTTTGGAGAAATATCGAGTCTGCACATGAGTAGACTCCGCGGTCTTAAAATCCCCACAATGCTTTGCGCACGGACCAATTTCCCCAAATCTGTGGCGGAAGATGTAAGAGGCGGGGCCTCTCATATGACGCACACCTGCACACTTGCTAGCGTGTTCCACACTTCGTTTTCCGAATGCCAGGAAGTATTCTTGCCTCGCTTCTGAAGCAAGATGCTCGGCAGACATGTGCTACCAAGCAAGCGTACTCGCGATTGAGAAACACCCAGGGTTCATACACTTTTTCAGCAATGATTTTTCAATGACTTCTCCATGACCTTTACCTAATTTTCCATGACCAAGAAAATGACTCTTTCTCAGCGGTACCACTGAAAACGGTTTATTTTAACCTGGAACAGGAAAATAAGGTCTGCATATGAAACATGTTGTGCCTATCTGAAACAAATCAAATAGGCTTACTAGCTTCTACACGCTAAAGCAACTGAAATCTCTCACCAGCAAAACACCTCGACAGTTAAATGCCATTTTACGTTTCATGACTATACGATACAGTATTTATTATCGTTATAGTATTACTATTTCGGCGATTAGATCAAATATAAATTATATTTGATGCAACTTTAGTTACATTTCCATGACTTTTCCAAAACTTTGGGAAAATATTGTTTTCCATAACTTTTCCAGGGCCTGGAATTAACATTTTGAATTTCCATGACTTTTCCAGGTTTTTAATGACCGTAAGAACCCTGAGTATTATCCTTATCTCCCCATCTCTATAATTAATCATTTCTCCCCATGTATCAGGGTGTAACAGGTGCAGATTGATACAGTACACATTCCATTCTTTTCTCTGGTGGGTTGCCATGTGAAATACTAAAGATTACTGCCAACTAATTATGCAAAAAGAAGAAGAATTAAACGTAGAAGTAGGCAGTTATATATTCCATAGCAGGATATCTCCTCTAGCTTAAAGCAGCTTGTGGTTCGGCCGTTTAGTTTCTGCTCGCTCTCTTTCTGCAGCCCTCGTGAGTCTGTGGCTCTCAGGATGTTTACGAAGGCTCCTGCTGTATAATTATTATAATTACACGACTGCTTGCTGAGGTGCTTCACAGAACTGCTCTCATGGCTTGAAGTGCAAAACTACTCAGCGTCTGTTTAAGTGAAAGGGAAAATGCCAGATTGTGCATGAGAGTAAAGACCCTATAACCCCTCCTGTAAAGCAGGGTCTCAATAGCTCAATTAAATGGATTGTGTCTTTTGATTTGAAAAGTCATGATCCTACCAAAACAGAAAGTGATAGAGCCTTGGTGTTGGGATCAGGGGGTCACAGGTTCAAACCCCACTGCAGTCAGCATGTCGTTGTGTCCCTGAGACCCTTCACCCCAAATACCTCCTGTGGGGATTGTCCACAGTATTGAGTATGTAAGTCGCTTTGGATTAAAGCGTCTAACAAGTAATGTAATGTAATGTGTATTTGCTTGATTGACAGGTGTCTCAGACTATAATACTCGAATAAACGTGTATTGTGTATACAGGTAAACACATGTGTATTTTGTGATTTTAAGCAGCTGGATTGTTAAATCCGACAACAAACAATCCTTAAAATTCAACAAAACTTAGAAATATTTTAATAACAAATGATTTTGAAGTGATTTGTTGTCTTTCTAAATATATCAGAAATGATTCCTCGGCCTCTGGGAGTATGTGATGCTATGATAATCCATCCATCCATCCATCCATCCATCATCCATCATCCATCATCCATCAATCTTCTCCCGCTTCTCCGTGGTCGGGTCGTGGAGGTATCAGTTCCAGCAGAGAGCCCCAAACGTTCCTTTCCCCACATCAACCAGCTCTGACTGGGGGATCCCAAGGCGCTCCCAGGCCAGCGAAGAGATATAATCCCTCCACCTGGTCCTAGGTCTACCCCTCGGTCTCCTCCCAGCTGGACGTGCCTGGAACACCTCCCGGATGACTGAACTTCTCACCTTATCCCTAAGGGAGACGCCAGACACCCTGCGGAGGAAACCCATCTCGGCCGCTTGTATCCGCTATATGCTATGTAATCAAAATGAATATCATAAAACACTCATTATTTGGAGAAACAGGTGCATTATAATATTTAATTGACCATGTCCGTCATTTCTAAACTTTCTGAATGTTTTAACTAATGTCATGAATAAAAGTAGTTACAAATGTTAAATAAAAAATGAATATTCTTGAGAAAGAAATGCCATTTACTGTAAACCCAATTACTCGTTATTGTTATTGGAAACTAAATTATTCTTCTCCATTTGTTTTAATTGTATGCTTGTCTACAAGACTCTCACTGATGGACAAACAATTCACTGAATTCTTCTCAGCTGTTGAACACAGTCATAAAAAACTCTTTCAGGGAAGTTTCTTGAAAATGATAATATAAAATAAATACATATAAATACATGTCTACGTGCCAACTGAATGTTTTTACAAGATGTCCTGAATGGAACTTGTTAAAAATGTTAAATAAAAAAGATCCATCATTTCTCATGTCTGGAAAACCCACGATATTCCCCAAACATTCTAATCATAGCAGAGCGAGTATTTCCCCACCTTCCCAGCACAAGCCCAAAGTGAGGTTTGAGTTTTTATATATGCTGACGTTTTCATTGGTCCCTCTTCTTTAGAGAAGACCAGGAAATGATGGATACACGGATCGTGTTCAAATCAATAGGCACGCAATGACTCTAAATAATAATGATCACGCCACCAAACACACATTCAAACTAAAGGAACCAGCCTGTTTGGAAAATGTGAGAAGTAGAAAGTTCAGGTATTTGTGTTCAACATGTAAGAAGTAGAAAGTACAGGTATTTGGGTTCAACATGTAACAAGTAGAAAGTACAGGTATTTGGGTTCAACATGTAAGAAGTAGAAAGTACAGGTATTTGTGTTCAACATGTAAGAAGTAGAAAGTTCAGGTATTTGTGTTCAACATGTAAGAAGTAGAAAGTACAGGTATTTGAGTTCAACATGTAAGAAGTAGAAAGTACAGGTATTTGTGTTCAACATGTAAGAAGTAGAAAGTACAGGTATTTGGGTTCAACATGTAACAAGTAGAAAGTACAGGTATTTGGGTTCAACATGTAAGAAGTAGAAAGTACAGGTATTTGTGTTCAACATGTAAGAAGTAGAAAGTACAGGTATTTGTGTTCAACATGTAAGAAGTAGAAAGTACAGGTATTTGTGTTCAACATGTAAGAAGTAGAAAGTACAGGTATTTGTGTTCAACATGTAAGAAGTAGAAATTACAAGTATTTGTGTTCAACATGTAAGAAGTAGAAAGTACAGGTATTTGTGTTCAACATGTAAGAAGTAGAAAGTACAGGTATTTGTGTTCAACATGTAAGAAGTAGAAAGTACAGGTATTTGTGTTCAAAATGTAAGAAGTAGAAAGTACAGGTATTTGTGTTCAACATGTAAGAAGTAGAAATTACAAGTATTTGTGTTCAACATGTAAGAAGTAGAAAGTACAGGTATTTGTGTTCAACATGTAAGAAGTAGAAAGTACAGGTATTTGTGTTCAACATGTAAGAAGTAGAAAGTACAGGTATTTGTGTTCAACATGTAAGAAGTAGAAAGTACAGGTATTTGTGTTCAAAATGTAAGAAGTAGAAAGTACAGGTATTTGTGTTCAAAATGTAAGAAGTAGAAAGTACAGGTATTTGTGTTCAAAATGGAAGAAGTAGAAAGTACAGGTATTTGTGTTCAAAATGGAAGAAGTCAAAGTAAAAAGTGGTCAGAAAAATAAGTAGTGGAGTAAAGTACTGATACCAGAAAAATGTACTTAAGTACAGTAACAAAGTATTTGTACTCCACTACTTCCCACCTCTGTAGCAGAGCGAGTATTCCCCCCCCCATAGCCTCTACTCACCATCCCCTCCCCCCCGGGGTGGGCAGCAGCGAGGGTGGAGGAGCACCTCTCCAGATGTTCCAGATGTTCTGACCTGGAGCTGCTGATGGAGACGGTGTAGATGCTGCTGCTGTATCCGTCACAGGAGCAGTGGTCTCCTCTCAGACCCCCGCTACCGGAGGACCAGACGAACACTGAGCCCCTCCCCCGCCGACCCTGAGAACACAGAGGGCCTTTATTCATCATATTTACACTTTCTGATCATCAGGACAAGATATGAGGTCATCAATATTTTCTCACACACCAAGATCAGTGTGAATGGTCCTCTTTCTTTCAGGAAGGTTCCTTACGCAGTGAAATAACCCGGAGGTCTGTAAGTGCCATGATGAGAGCTGTTTGAATTCTCTAGATCAGGGGTGTCAAACTCAATTTCATCGCGGGCCACATTAGCATTATGGTTGCACTCAAAGGGCCGGTTGTAACTTTAAGACTATATAAAAATACATACATATTTAATATATATAAAATATATAACTTCATAATGAACTACGTCTGAAAGCAGAAGTCTGGGGCAAATAATTGCAAGTCTTTTCAGTGAGCATGTCACAAAATGATTTAAAAAGAAAAGCCAAATTCTGGAAAAAAGTCAAACTCAAAAAAAAGAAGTGACATTTTGAAAAAAAAGTAACATTTTGAAAAAAAGTCAAATTCTAAGAAAAAAAGTCTAATTTGAGATGCATTGTGGGACATGTAGTTTATGGGCAACGTGCTTCTGTAAATCGGCATGTAACCGTATAATAAACATATTATATTCTTTGCAAGCTCTTGTGGGGCCGCAGAAAATGAAGTCGTGGGCCGAAGTTGGCCCCCGGGCCTTGAGTTTGACACCCCTGCTCTAGATGATAGGAAAGGAGCTTCAATACTTCCTTTGTTATCTCCTTTAGGATGCATCGAATGCAACATTTAAAGTGACGCTCCAATATTTCATTCAAGAAAACCGACAAATGCAGATCATGTGAGTTACGCTGCTTATTAAACATTTTACATCTAATATGGCCATAGCTTGCCAAACTGGTTTCTTGTCTTAAACTTTCTCCAAAACGCTAATAACTGTTAAACTATCAAATATAATCAACATTTGACAGTGTTTCCTGAGTTGGGTGGTGTTTCTTAAAAAGGCCCTATTATGGACTTTGGGGTGTTCCACTTCCTGTAGTGTGTTTATAGGTTTTAGTGCATGTAAATGGTCTGCAAAGGCTAACATTCATGTGTTCTCTCCCCCTCCATGCCTGAAACGTCTCCAGTGGACTCCTTTGTTTACTTCTGGATCATAGTGTCACCAATGTTTTCCAGGAAGATTAGTAAGGAAAAAAGATAGGACCTGTTTTTTTGGGCTATTTGACTGCAGCCAAAATGTTTCTTACATTTTTGACGCCATTCTCTAAAGCGAGACGAGTCAGAGGCCCCGGTCCCTCCAAAGTGGCCCCGTCGTCTTCTGGCCCCCAGCTGGCTGAATAAATATCAATGTACTGAGGTCTGAAGCTCAGGGATTGGGCCTCCACCATGTCGGTCACATCTCCATCCAGCATGCGGATACCTACGAGCAGAAATAAAGTTAGAATCCTTCATACTCAACACTCTGACCTCCAGACGTCCTTGTTCTCTCCCTGTTTCATGTCGTCACTTGCTCTCACCACCGATGCGAGCGTTGAAAGAAACTCCGACGGTGCAGTGTGAGTTGTGAGCAGCTGCAGCGATCGTCCCTGCACTCTGAGTCCCATGGCTGAGAGAGAGAGATAGAGAGAGAGAGAACATCACAACATGAGGTTAGATGCATATGCATGAGCAGGAGACGGGCTATTTCTGTTACATCAAACCAGTGAGAAGACACAATTCAGACTGGGGGATTTGCATATCCATATATGCATGTAATTACCAGGAAAAGAAAAGCGTGCATTAATTAAACTTAGAAATGATGACGGGGATTTGCAGAAAACAGGAACAGGTGCAAAGACAAACGCAGATGCGATTTTAATTAATTTTGTTTTGGGTTTTTTGCTCTTTATCATGTGAAATGTATCAGGATGTGTGAGCGATACAATGCTGTGACCAATGTTCCAGTTCTTGTGAGGGTGGGGGGGATTCTGTTTGTTTTGTTATATGTAACAAAAGAGGGGTAGTAGTGCAATGTCCTGTAATAAGAAAACCAAATCCAGGAAATGTAAAAAATAGTTGTATTGTCTGTTAAATCTGCACTCTTTAAAGGTCACTTATTATGCAAAATCCACTTCTCCATGTCTCTTCTTCATCAACATGTGTCCCCTCTTCTCCATGTCTCTTCTACATCAACATGTGTCCCCTCTTCTTCATGTCTCTTCTTCATCAACACGTGTCCCCTCTTCTTCATGTCTCTTCTACATCAACATGTGTCCCCTCTTCTTCATGTCTCTTCTACATCAACATGTGTCCCCTCTTCTTCATGTCTCTTCTACATCACCATGTGTCCCCTCTTCTTCATGTCTCTTCTACATCAACATGTGTCCCCTCTTCTTCATGTCTCTTCTACATCAACATGTGTCCCCTCTTCTTCATGTCTCTTCTACATCAACGTGTGTCCCCTCTTCTTCATGTCTCTTCTACATCAACATGTGTCCCCTCTTCTTCATGTCTCCTCTACATCAACATGTGTCCCCTCTTCTTCATGTCTCTTCTACATCAACATGTGTCCCCTCTTCTCCATGTCTCCTCTACATCAACATGTGTCCCCTCTTCTTCATGTCTCTTCTACATCAACATGTGTCCCCTCTTCTTCATGTCTTTTCTACATCAACATGTGTCCCCTCTTCTTCATGTCTCTTCTACATCAACATATGTCCCCTCTTCTTCATGTCTCTTCTTCATCAACATGTGTCCCCTCTTCTTCATGTCTCTTCTACATCAACATGTGTCCCCTCTTCTTCATGTCTCTTCTACATCAACATGTGTCCCCTCTTCTTCATGTCTCTTCTACATCAACATGTGTCCCCTCTTCTCCATGTCTCTTCTACATCAACATGTGTCCCCTCTTCTTCATGTCTCTTCTACATCAACATGTGTCCCCTCTTCTTTATGTCTCTTCTACATCAACATGTGTCCCCTCTTCTTCATGTCTCTTCTACATCAACATGTGTCCCCTCTTCTTCATGTCTCTTCTACATCAACATGTGTCCCCTCTTCTTCATGTCTCTTCTACATCAACATGTGTCCCCTCTTCTTCATGTCTCTTCTACATCATCATGTGTCCCCTCTTCTCCATGTCTCTTCTACATCAACATGTGTCCCCTCTTCTTCATGTCTCTTCTACATCAACATGTGTCCCCTCTTCTTCATGTCTCTTCTACATCAACATGTGTCCCCTCTTCTTCATGTCTCTTCTTCATCAACATGTGTCCCCTCTGTAGAAAGAGACTCTGAAAGTTTCAGGAACAAAGATTCTCTCTCTTTTTGTCCTGATCCATTTTTATAAAAACCTGTCTGAAAATGAGCTGATCAGATTTTGCCCACTTTATGATGTCATAACGATGTTTTGGCTTGTGTAACCATTAGCCAATCAGCAACCAAGGTAACCCCTATATATCTGGGACCTGTGATATATTGATGAAAGACAGTATAATAGGGGACCTTTAATAAAGAAATGAAAACAAAAAAAGGAAGCACTCACTAGTTGGAGGCAGCAGCGTTGGAATAATTTGGAGACGGATCGTCGTCTTGTCCGTTCACATCACGGCTGGCCAGAGGATCCTGAATCAGATGGATAGTAAGTAGCAGTGCATTATGGGATGCCGGCAGCTATCTGTCTGTGTTTCATCACAAAGAGCATTATTCACCCGTCCACTGCACACTTAAGTGGATCAGACGTTTACTGTCCGATCCAATCCTCTCCGAATCTTTCGGCCCAAAAGCTGCGCCGGCAAATATCTGTCTTACACTAAGAGCTCTGCAGCCAAATAGCTTATGATTAATGTCCCCCCCTTTTCCCCAAGAAACAGCAGTCCATCCCGGGGCACTTACATAATTTGGCTTCAGATCCGGATGCTCTCTCTCGATGCCGTCGTCCAGGACAGAGACCACCACTCCTTTTCCACTGAAACCTCTCCTCCAGGCCCCAACGATGTTCATACCTGACTGAGGAGCAGAGAGAGGGACATTCAGATCAGACTGGGGAAGCTAGGAAGCAGAGGTGTAAAGTAACCAAGTACATTTACTCGTTACATTTTGATTGTGCATGAGAGTAAAGACCCTATAACCCCTATACAGCAGGGTCTCAATAGCTCATTTAAATGTATTGTGTCTTTTGATTTTAAAAGTCATTGATCAACCAAAACAGAAAGTTAATAGAAATGTTGTCTGATGTGTATTTGCTTGATTGACAGATGTTGTATATATGTAAAAACGTGTATTGAGTAAACAGGTATACACATGTGTATTTTGTTATTTAAAGCAGCTGGATTGTTTAATCCAACAACAAACAATCCTTAACATTCAACAAAACTTTGAAATATTTTCATAAAAAAATATTTTTAAGTAATTTGTTGACTTTTTCTATACATCAGAAATTCTTCTTATCATAAAACACAGCATATAGCTTAATTTCTTCCATAATCTGTGTTTAGTAACTAAGTACATTTACTCGTTACATTTTGAGGTACTTGAACTTTACTTGAGTATTTCCCTACTGTGTACTTCTACCCCACTGCATGTATTTAATACCTTTAGTTACTTCACAGATCTGGATGAATGATGTGAAATATAATCAAGTGTTAAATCAGACTTTAGTTCCACCTGGAGTAAATCCACAAGCTACCCTGCAGTATACAAAGTCATTCAAACTAGCTGCACCTTTACCAGCTTTGAGAACACTTTCATGATCAATCATTATAAAACATATCATATATATTATTCTGAAATGGACCAATCTGCACAATGACTACTTTTACTGTCGCTACTTTAACTATATTTTGATGAGAATACTTTTATACTTTCACTTGAGGAACATTTTGAATGCAGGACTTTTACTGAAACAGAGTATTCCTACACTCTGGTACTTCTACTTTTACTCAAGTACAAGATCTGGGTACTTCTACTTTTACTCAAGTACAAGATCTGAGTACTTCTGCTTTTACTCAAGTACAAGATCTGAGTACTTCTCCTTTTACTCAAGTACAAGACCTGAGTACTTCTCCTTTTACTCAAGTACAAGATCTGAGTACTTCTCCTTTTACTCAAGTACAAGATCTGAGTACTTCTACTTTTACTCAAATACAAGATCTGAGTACTTCTACTTTTACTCAAGTACAAGATCTGAGTACTTCTACTTTTACTCAAGTACAAGATCTGAGTACTTCTACTTTTACTCAAGTACAAGATCTGAGTACTTCTGCTTTTACTCAAGTACAAGATCTGAGTACTTCTCCTTTTACTCAAGTACAAGACCTGAGTACTTCTCCTTTTACTCAAGTACAAGATCTGAGTACTTCTCCTTTTACTCGAGTACAAGATCTGAGTACTTCTACTTTTACTCAAGTACAAGATCTGAGTACTTCTCCTTTTACTCAAGGGTTACCTTATGGTCACTTTTATAAGTCCTGATGAATCTTCCTTCTCTTATGTCCTAAACATATTTCCCTATAATACTGCAGTCTGTGTTCTATCTGTGTTTCAGACTCACATGGTACCACGGGTTCCTCCACATGGAGTCGTTATGGAGCGTCTGATTGGACGGATGAGCGGTGGGAAGGTTTTCGCTCTTCAGGTTAACGGAGAAGACGTGATTGGCTCTGGAGTTCCTCTTTTCTCTTCTCAGGACCACCTGCTGCTGCAGCCACTCCACCTTAAAAACAGAATCAAACATAATGCTCGAGCTACAACAACACTAAATATTAGAGATGTCCCGATCCGATCACGTGATCGGGGATCGTAGCCGATCACGTGATTTTCAAAAGATCGGAATCGGGAGAAAAAAATCGGGGATTGGGAATTTTTTTATATTTATTTATAAAATATTTTTATTATTTTATTTAATGTTACAAAACAAAAATGACCATGTTCAAGTCATCCTGAGGCCTTAGTTTTGGTTTAAAATTACACAACATCATGTATGTGTTGTTTCTTTTGGGCTTGTTTTCATAGACCTGGTTGCTGGTCGGGACAGAGAAAATGTCAGGAGTTTGGAAGTATTATAAAATTGAAAGCGGAGGCAGTGTAACAGCCAGATGCAATGTTTGCAAGGTGGAGGTACCGCATGGTGGAAAGAACAGAGCTACGTTCAACACGACTAATCTAATACAAACACCAACAACAACACGACGAGTACACAGCGGCCACTCAGGTAACGGCACTGAAACAACCGACACTTTCAGAGACTTTTAAAAAGGAAAGAGAAACTGCCCCAGAACAGTGAAAAGGCCAAAAAATAACAGCCAATATAGCTGAATTCATCGCGTTGGATGACCAGCCGTTATCTGTTACCTTTTTTTTCTCTTAATGCATTGCATAAAGATCGGATCGGGAAAAATCGGTATCGGCAGATTGTCGGATCGGGAGCAAAAAAAGGTGATCGGGACATCCCTACTAAATATGGTGTAGTATACAGCATGAAAATTGTGAAAATGTCCATCCCAGTTTCTCAAAGACCAAGGTGATGTCTTTAAATGGTTTTACGGTAAAAAGCACGAAGAGTTTCACTTTAATATGATCAAAAAGTTAAAAGAAAAGAAAGAAATCTCCATATTTGATAGGTCGGACTGCTATTCTTGCAAGAAAATTTGCAATTTTATTTTTGCATAATCGTTAGACAAATCGATGCAGCTCTAATCAACACTTTTGGTCTATTCACAATATAACTTTGTGTTTTAACAACAATCTTAATGTTAGGATATTTTGACAAAGAAGTAACATAAAAGACAGAATTTATTTTTCTTTTGAACTTGTGTTTTTATTGAATGTAGTGAAATCCAATATCTTGACCGTCATGCTGCACGTTTCAGAAAAAGGTCATTTTTTGGCCTTGTTTTTTTATCACTTGTATTGTATTGTGGTATTATACTGCCTGTTGTGATTTAGTAAACCAGGTACATTTCTCTTTGTGCCATCAACAGAGTGGTGCAGGAATGAGTCCTAAACTTGGACATGAGTCAGCATTTTAGCACTTCCTGGTTCCACTGTAGCTCCTTTGTAAACTAACGTTAGCTTTTGACTTCTAGTGATTGCATTTACAGTGGCTGTGAACGCCTAAGATATTCTAAAAAATAATATTTAAAAACATTTAAAAAATATATATATTTTTTAAATATATATTTTTTTAATATTATTTTTGTTATATTTTTCATTAGTTTTACCGAAAAAAAACTTGATTTAATTGTATTTAAAATAACATTTCCAAAGAAATAAATCCTTCGAATCTGCCTGTTCAGTCTCTGTTTGAATGTGAAGGGTTACATGAAAGAAGCTCACCTGGCCCTCTCTGCGATTCACAGAGGGCCCGCTATAGTAACTGAACGAGAGAGTAATGTCAAATGACAGTACAATTGACCAATCATATCTTCCCTCTAAATGGGTGGGTTTTATTATCGCGGACTTTATGACAAGTTCCGCCCGCTGTGAAACTTTTCTTGTTTCCATAGCAACAACAACTTCCTGTCAACAGCGTGAACTCGCCTTCAAAATAAAAGCATGCCAAATTACACTTAAGACATACAACGGCAACGAAAGTAAGAAACACAATGCAATATCATTTTCAATGTCAAAGAACACAAATTGGGTTTACAGGTGTTGTTTTGTGTGGTAGAGGGTCGCTGTCATTGATGCGTTTTGCACCCTGGGCCGTTGTTTTGATATTCCGCTGAAGTATACGCTGTGACGTAATAACTCTTTTTTTTTTCTTTTTTTCGAGGGAATTGGTGGGGGTCAGAGGGCCTAGGTATAAAGCTCACGGCTCGCCACTGTCATAGAGTGGTGTTAATATGTCCTGCTGAACAAGACGTGTAAATATCCTAAACACAGATATTATTTTCTGCAATAATCCCAAATTACATGGAGAAATCCCATTGGCTTTTTGTCGAGGAAACCGTGGAGATGCTAATGTCCGATGCTAACATATGTCATCACTGTTTTATGGCAACTCCAGTTTTGTGGTGTTATATGTGCGATGATGTAAAGAACAGTGTGTAACGAAGAGGCCAGAACAGCAACACGTGTGTGGGGAGGAGACATGATGCTCATTAATAATTCAGAGGTCCAGTCTCTCCTCATATCCCGTTACTTACCTCAGTCTCCGTGGCGACGCTAACAGACACCTGTGTGTTTGACACCGTCGACCTCATCGCCGTCTCGCTGTGGCGAAAACTGTAATAACTCTTCAGGTCTCCGATCTAGAGAAACAGACATAAAAACCCTTTCATATAATTTGTTTTCAGATAAAAGGAGTGAGTTTCTCTGTCACCAAACAGCTGTTAAATGATGAAGGTCCTTCAGTGCAGAGGTGGGAAGTAGTGGATTACAAATACTTCGTTACTGTACTTAAGTATATGTTTCTGGTATCAGTACTTTACTCCACTACTTATTTTTCTGATGACTTTTTACTTTGACTTCTTACATTTTGAACACAAATACCTGTACTTTCTACTTCTTACAGTTTGAACACAAATACCTGTACTTTCTACTTCTTACATTTTGAACACAAATACCTGTACTTTCTACTTCTTACATGTTGAACACAAATACCTGTACTTTCTACTTCTTACATGTTGAACACTAATACCTGTACTTTCTACTTCTTACATGTTGAACACAAATACCTGTACTTTCTACTTCTTACATGTTGAACACAAATACCTGTACGTTCTACTTCTTACATGTTGAACACTAATACCTGTACTTTCTACTTCTTACATGTTAAACACTAATACCTGTACTTTCTACTTCTTACATGTTGAACTCAAATACCTGTACTTTCTACTTCTCACATTTTCCAAACAGGCTGGTTCCTTTAGTTTGAATGTGTGTTTGGTGGCGTGATCATTATTATTTAGAGTCATTGCGTGCCTATTGATTTGAACACGATCCGTGTATCCATCATTTCCTGGTCTTCTCTAAAGAAGAGGGACCAATGAAAACGTTGTCATGTTGCCGTTGTTCAGCATGGAAACATTCATTAGCTAACAATGACATTATTGTTCTATTAATATAAAGGGAGGTCAGGTACTCTTTAAAACAGCTGCTAGTTACGGGTACTTTTTACTGAAGTACATTTCAAAGCCCTCTTTACTTTTACTTGAGTAAATAAGTTTAGTCAGTACTTCTACTTTCACCAGAGTATTTTTAAACACGAGTATCTGTACTTCTACTTGAGTAAAGCATGCGTGTACTTTTGCCCTCTCTGGTTCAGGGTTTCATTAAGGCGGACACCTTACACCTGTGATCAGGTAACATGAGACTCTGCTGTTCATGTGTGTTTCGGAGTGTGTCCGTAATGGCATGACGTAAAGACATCTTTTTAAATATATATAAGAAAAGGGGCTCTGGGTAATGGCGAATCAATATAATAAGTGTCATAAGTTGATTTTCTGCGAGAGGCCAGAATAAATGATGCTTTTGTTGTGAAATGTCCTTTTGACTTTTGACCTCTGCTATTAAGCATCAGAGGGTCTTCGCGGTCTATAACCCCCTCAATGAACATGTACCAGATAACAGAACCACTCATTACACCACATCTCCCCGGGGAGAACATGTGTTACATATATTGGAAAACCCTTTGTGTCTTTCTTTTTGCTTTATTGTTTATTGATCTAGCTTGTATTTGGTCATTCTGTCATCTCTGCTCTTATTGATTTCCGTTTTGTTTTTTGCAACCTTGGTTTGAATAGAAATTAAGAGCCGACTCTTGCTTCTTCAAGGTTTAACGGACGTTAGATGATTAATTAATACTATATATTGTCAGGATAGGGATGATGTCATTTTTGCAACTATCTCAGATGCAGGTGCTTTGGAAAATGAAATGAAGGAAGAGGACGCTTGGTATCCTTTACCAAGAAACAAACATCCCTGCAGACTGTGGATGTGGATGAACAGCTGCTGGCTTCTAATATATAAAAAGAACAACTGAAACGCTCATTAATAAAAGCTAATATTTACCTTCCTCCTGCAGTAGCTGAGTGGCCGTTTAATTAAACATTACTCTAGTTTCTGCCAGACAGATGGTAGACAGTTATTTGCAAAACAAAGTATTGCAACTAATCTCAAATATCATTATTACAACTACAGTGGGATATTTGCAATAAGACTGTTTTAAAGGACATTGCAGGACAGTGACAGTCTGGGGGTTTTGCAAAATGAGGCACTATGAATTCACCGATTTCTTAAAATAAACATGTCAACTATAGTGTTATTTAAAGAAGATTTGAGACAAACTACAATCTTCATTCTGTGTTATTGTGTTAGTTTCATTAGTCTTCCTGCAGCTCAATGTCTTGATAATTGGTTGAGGCCTAACTTGAAGCTTGTTGAGTGTTGCCTACAGGCCTGAATTACCCAAAATACTGACAAATTAAAAACTTAAAAACTACACACAACACTTCAAGATCAAGATGAAGACAAATGCTCTGTATGTTAGCTTGGTGCTCCTTGTATTCTCCTGAGTGTGTTTCAGGACACTCACCTGGCCCATGTTGGTGAATCCATATTTCTCTGCTATCCGGCTCACACACTCTCTGTCTCCTCGTATCCTGATCGCCCAGTCGTTGGTGTAAATCGTTGCATGACAAACCTGCAGCAGAGCTCCCATCATCCACAGAAACAAAAAATGCACCATCACTGCAAAAACGAATCGACAGGTTTCCAGTAATTAGACGGAGCCCAGGTGCCTCATGCGTCGCGCGTGCACACGGATCTCCTGCAGAAAGTGTTGCTCATTGCAGGAATAAAACCAGTCTCAGAGCTTCATGAGGTGTTCTGCAGAAACGGGAGGATGTGTCACCAGCTGAAGTGGTTTCTAACACAATGAGAACAAGCTAATATCAAGTTACTGCTCCAACATGGAGACCAGGGATCAGCTGTGCGTCCTGTCTGCGGCCACATGGTGCAGCTTCACCTGCATGATTTATTAAAGAGGCCCTGTAATGCGTTGTGAATGGTGTTCTATAGGTTTCTGTGCATGTAAATGGTCTGCAAAGGCTAAAATCCCAAAGTTCCAGAATATTTTGACATCAGTATGTAACACCTACTACTACAACTACTACTACTACTATTACTTATACTACTAGTAGTCTACTACTACTACTTATACTACTACTACTACGTCTACTACTACTACTTCTTCTACTATTACTACTACTACTAACTACTACTGGACATTCTGGAGCGTGGCCACTTTGCTAAAATATGAAACACACACACAATAACACGATCAGTCACACCATCTAAACTGATCTGTGTTTGCAGTAGAAAGACTAATCCTGAACCCATAAATATATAAAAATAAATTAATATTTCCCTTGAGGCAATGTGATTGTTTTTGTATTATTTTTTGGCCACATGCCTTTCCCGTTGGCACGGCAGCAGCACTGTGAAGCGATATCCCTGCTTTTAGAAATCCACTGCTTTAACTGGGTCAATCTGAAGCAATCACACAAAAAATCCTTCACGGTTCGTAAAGAAGACCGAGATATACTTACATTTAATGTTGCAATTCAGCAAAGATTTAAAAGACTAGAGGTGTGATAAATTGCGTGGATAGTGAATTGAGAAATCACCTGTAGAGTTTAACAAAGCAAATATATGGGCTGTTGAGTTCGGCATTAACTTTACAGATGCAGTATTTTATAGGAACAGATCCGTGTTTTCACTCTGGTGTAGGTGAGTATCAGTGGTTGACAGTAACAAAGTACATTTACTCAAGTACTGTACTTAAAGAGTGTTGGGGAAATATTTTCCAAGGCCCATAACTTTGACCCAGTTTATCAGTTCATGTCCTGACTGAGCACACACACCTGTAACCTTGGCTGCTGTGCTCTCAGTGTTTTGTCTCCCTGTTCCTGCCTGATGGCGTCAGCTGATAGAGGTGTTATGATTCTATCTTGTTAGGCACAATGTTGATTATTCTCTCTGAACTAGCTAAATACATGGGTCCGCGGTAGAGTTCTTCGGAATTGACGTGGCAACTCTACCGTGAAGTCAGAACCTCTGACTCTTGGACTTGTTTTGTGAATTCTCCGGCCGAAGCTCCACATAAACCCATCAGTGTTTGACATCAAAGCTCCAGCTGTCCCCGTGTCTCCTTTTGAGTCGGTGACTCCTCCTGCATTGCTACACAGAAGTTTCCCCCACAAAGAGGCCCTATTGTTTTTGGGGGTTTCCCTTTCATGTAGTGTGTTCTATAGGTTTGTGTGCATGTAAATGGTCTGCAAAGGCTAAAATCCCAAAGTTCAGGAAGACAGTGACATCACGCACGCTCCTATTGGGCATGGGCGGAGTGGCCGTTGTGTCCTTGGGCAAGACACTTCACCCGAATTTGCTCCTGTGGGTATTGTCCACAGTACATGTATGATACTAATGTGTACTTGTAAAGCGCCTTGATGACTTTGAGGTGTGAAGATGGGCGGTGTGGCGCAGTGGGCTGTGCATTGATCAAGGGGGCGAAACCCGCCGCCGCTGCGTCTGTAAAGCCGTTGTGTCCTTGGGCAAGACACTTCACCTGAATTTGCTCCTGTGGGTATTGTACACAGTACATGACCGTTACATGTATGTATGTGTAATGTGTATCTGTAAAGCGCTTTGGGTCATGGAAAAAGCGCTATAATAAATATAAGGAATTATTATTATTATTATTGCTAGCACTCCCAACACATTGTACGTGATAGGCTAAGGGGCGGGACATCTCTAAGTGGTTGACCAATCACAACAGAGCCGGCCAGTTAACCAATCAGAGCAGACTGGGCTCTGGTTTCAGACAGAGGGTGAAAAGAGTTGCTGCAGCACAGGCAGTATGAGAAAAATAAAGAGCTTTTTGAACATTAAAGCGTACAGAATTCTGTTATTATAAAAAACTAAATCTGGCACCAACACCTTTATTTCCCACAGCAGCACTTCAGCGACAACAGATTGATATGTGATTCTTCTTAATTGAAAAAGGGTCCTCCAACAACATGTGTGAACCTCACATTATGAACCTCGGCTCTCCGCCTCACTCTGTAAGTCTCGTGGCGTAATCATATGACTAATACTGTGGCATTAATTGGAATTATTGCCCCAAGATAATTTCATTAGTAACAAAACAATAATGTGCACTGATGACTTGATTTTCACCAGGCTCTGTTTGATGTAATGTAAAACAGGCAACAGTTCTTTATTAATAACGCACACAGATTTAACTCAAATGAACACCATGTGTCAACAGAGATCCTCAAATGTATGTCAACCTCATTTGCATTTCCCGTGCAACACATATGAAACATTCACTGAAAAGCATATTTTTTTCAGAAAGATTTGACTATTAAATGCTTCAATATAAAGATGTGGAATGGAGCTTTAAAGCTTTGTAGATCATGCAAAAGATTTCATGTGCAGTAGTTCTCGTCCTTCTAAAGTTTCTCCTCCTCAAAACTGTTTTGCAATAAAAAAAAAAGTGAAAAACGAGTTGTTTTAAAAATATGCACTTGCAATGCACCCGATTTTGAAATGTTTTTACAGATAGTTTTCCTAAAAAAGCTGCAGGACTGATGATCAATTATTGATATCTCAGTTAAAGACAGTGCCCTAAATACTTTATTTATTGAGTTTAAAGATGCATTAGAAAGAAACTGATCTAATCATAATGTATCAAAAGTATCCACTCTTAGTCAAGGGACTTATAACGAGCTATTGTGCAGAAGCTGCGGTGTGTCTTGGTGTACTAACATTAAAGAAAGCGTGATAACAAATGTAATCATAATTCATTATTTCTTGAATGATATCAATAAAGACAATAAATGACAATGATTGTACTTTTTATTTATCAGACTGGAGGTTTTCATTAGGCAATGTTTGAAAAGCCGAGTATTTATTCCTTTGTCCATTTCTGAGAGGAATTTCAACAACTTTTTGATCGACAGATGTTTTTATCGGAAACTATTTTTGATAAAAGATTGATTGTTCAAGTCATTCTTCATCTTCATTCAGCCTCTTAAACATGGAGCTGTCTTGCTTTTATCTGTTCTATATAACATAAAGTGAATATCTTTGTGTTTTAATGCCAAACAATTTACTTTTAAAAGCATCACCTTGGACTTTAACCCTTAGATGCACGAGTGACTGGACCCTACACTCTTCCATAAGTGGGTCTAAAATGACCCGTATTAGAATAATATGTGTTTTTATGCAATTTTTGTCATTTTGGTTAAGAAAAATCTCTTGTATAATATTTAGTATTATATTTTTGGTTCACACTAGAAATATTTTATAATTAATTTTTCACTATTTATAATTTTAGAAATGTCTTTTACATTTTGAAAAAAAACGTTTTCCCATAGGATTCCATAGAAAATGCATGCGGGTCAGTTTTGACCCACTTATGGAAGCTTGGGGTAGTAATACAAAAACTACAATTTCTTAAAATGTATAAAATGTCAATTTAAAATGTGAATGGCATGATATCCAAAACGTGTTTTTTGAGGAATAGCTGGAATATGAAATGATAAAAAAATGTAATTACAAAGATACTTCAAGAAAACCACCTCACCGGGTCCAAAAAGACCCACTTATGCATCTAAGGGGAAACTGTAATGGAAATGTTTACTGTGGCGGGAGGCGTGTGGCGCAGTGGATAGAGCGTTCGTGTTGGGATCAGGGGAGCACAGGTTCAAACCCCACTGCAGTCAGCATGTCGTTGTGTCCCTGAGACACTTCACCCCAAATTGCTCCTGTGGATTGTCCACTGTATTCAGTACGTAAGTCGCTTTGGATAAAAGGGTCTAACAAGTAACATGTAATGTTTAACTATTTTCTGACATGTTATACATTAAACGATGAATGGAGAAAGTGAGCTTGCAGATTCTTTCATAATAAAAATAATCTTTACACTATAAAAACACAAAGATACAATACCTGCAAGTCAATGCAAGCATATCATATATAAGCAGAAACATATCCTTTGACCAGCTCTCTGTTGCTGATCAGAATAAAAAGAGCCTGAAGGAGATGAAAAGTATCTCAAACACTTATTAGAAGCGTAAATGAACAATGCAGCCAGTGAGAAATCTGAAGAAAATCAAAGTTTAAATAATTCTGTTTGTTCTGTCGTCAAATAACAAAAACACCAGAAGTTTCTGAAGAAGATGAAAACAGAAAACGCTCTCTGCACACTTGGAAACCAACCTGTCAGAATACGTTTGTGTTTAAAGTCATGTTCAACGTCCACTGCGGCCTTGAATCATGAAAGAGCAGGTTGATGACGCAACGGGCACTCGCAGTCTTTACGATGCGCTGAGAAAAACAAACCGATGTGGAAAACAAAAGGAGAAGCACCTCACGGCGAGGCAGACACTTTGAAGTTATCTAACATGTCTTCAGAGAGGCTGACTTTGATGTGCAGAAACTCAAACAGTGACACATCCCCCTGAAAATAATTGTCAAACGTGTTGTGGAGCACACTGACTGCCCGCAGGCGGCACAGGCATGAACTCTTATTTATTCTTTGTTCACACTTCCCTCTGTTTCATAAGCTCTCATTGTTTGGGAACATGAGAGCTGCAGCGTGACATGTCGCGGTAAGTAGTTCACGTTTTGAAGCTGTGAGTCATCCGTAAAGAGGATTTCACAGTTTCATTTATTTTGT